TCTTTTTGGTTTTTTTTTTCTGGTACCGGGAACCGAACTCACAACCTTGCGCTTGCCAGGCAGGCGCTTTTGCCGCTGAGCTAAATCCCCAGCCCCTCTCAAGAAATTTTTAAAGGGGGTCTGGAAATGCGGTCAGTGCTTCGTGGGTGGACCCACGCCCCTCCCTACAGGCACATGGTGCTGGCCCCACTTTCAGATGCGCCTGTTGCTGGCTGGGGGAGGTGCAGCAGGTCTTCGGCATAGGGGGATGGAAGAGAGGGCCCAGGCAGCACATGCGAAAGCGGTGCCTCCCGGTGCCCGCAGGAAGCTCAGCTGTGTGGCAGGCGGCTCCCCAGGCCTAGGACACAGGTGGGCTCGGGCGAGTGTGCCGCCCAGACCCTTGGCTTCACACGGGCAGCCATCACGACAGGGCTCAGGTGCGTGGTGTCACCCTGCCCCGATCTTGTCGCAGGACTGATGGCGAGGAGCAGACGCGGCTCAGCCTGAACTGCACGCCGGAGGCCTTGATGCGCGTGGTGGCCTGGCTCGCCCAGAACCAGCAGCTCTACGAGAAGACTGAGATCCTGGCCCTGGAGAAGGTGCCTCGGACGCTCCGCTGCTGAGCCCGGGTGGCTGCGTGTCCCGCACGGCACCGCTGCGGTGTCCTCAGCAGAGAAGGAGCCCCACGTGGCTCGTGTGCGCTGGGCTGTCCTTTGCTGTGAAGCTGGCCCGGCAGACTCGTCGGCATTCTGTTCCCCGTTCGGCAGGGGTCCCCTAGCAGCGAGGGAGGGAGGAGCGCATTCAGCCCTGCCCTGCCCCGCAGGGGGCGCGGAGCGGGGGAGCTGGGGCAGAGATGGGAGGAGGTGGATCCCTTCCGGGCTAGCGGACAGGGTTCCTCCTGGTTAGAAAGTCACAGGTTTGGTCTCTGTTGCCCGGTCCGGCCCGTGGCATTAGGTCTCATCTTCAGGTGAAAAAGTGTATTGGAAAACATGCATAGTTCCAACTACTTTATGGATATCTCCCACTTAGAGCGCTCATAAATGTTTCGAATCCAGTGTGCACAGGTGTTGACCTCATTTCTGCTCCAGCCCTTTAAACCTCTTCTTTTTCTGTTTCTTTGGGGCTTTCCAGGGTTCTGTGGCTGCTCCCGAGCTCCTGTGAGTCCTGCTCTGAGCTCTGTCCCTTCTCTCTTGCGTTTGTCTGCCCCACTCGGGAGCACGGGGGACCGAGGCCTACTGACGGGCCTCTGCACCCTGCCACCCTCGGCCCTCCTCCCTCCCTCCGTCCCGCAGGCGCCTCAGCTCACCCCTTGGGGGCCCCTCGCTTTCTCGACCCAGGCCCTTAGGTCGGCTCCCTGTGGGCTGCAGCGTGGTGAGCCTCGCAGGAGGGTGTTGGGCTGAGCGCCAAGGAGGTCCGGGCCCCCAGGCCTGAGGTCCCCAGTGTGTGCTTCGTTACTGCCTGCCCTGTGGTCTGCGTTTCCGGACTGGCGCGGACCGTGAGGCTCAGCCTCGCTTCTCTTCAGCCCTTGCTGCAGCACGCTGGGATGGGGCGCCTGTGCACACTGGACGAGTCTGTGAGCCTGGCCGCCGTGATCGAGCGGGTGAAACGACACCTGAAGCTGCCCCATGTCCGTCTGGCGCTTGGCGTGGGGAGGACCCTCGGTGAGTGCATCGCCCCTGTCCGAAGCCTCCAGGCTTTGTCTCCAGTGGCGGGGCCGGGAAGCTGGTGGTGCGGAGCGGGGAGGAAGCCGCGATGGGAAGTGAGGCCCGGGCTGGCAGGTCTGTCGGGCCTGGTGTGCCCGGCTCTCGGTGCCCAGCGTGGGCCGGGGGAGTACAGAGGACTGTGGTGAGTGCTCCAGGAAGCGGTGAGGCTTGCGGCGGGGCCCGGCACTTGCTGAGGGTCGTGGCAGCTGCCTTTTCCCCTGGCTTTTCCAGGGCCCTGGGGACAGGGCGGACGAGGTGGGCAGCTGAGGGTGCCACGCGCCTGCACCTGCTGTGCACGGCAGGGTGAGGGTGCATCCTGGAGTCACACAGCCTCGCTCCAGGGTTTGTCCTGTCCCTCCGCACTGAGGTCACACACTGTCCAGCCACTCTGTGTGCAGGAGCCTTCTTTGCAAATGCTCTTTGGTGGCTTTTTTTGGAGTTGGGAATCAAACTCCGGACCTCGCACTTACCAGGAAGGCGCTGTGTTGGCTTTTTGTTTGTTTTTTGAGACAAGGTCTCGATATGTAGTTCAGGCTGGTGATCTTCCTACCTCAGCCTTCTGGGTGCTGGGATGACAGGTGTGCGCCACCACGCCCACTACAAATGCTGCATGTGCCATACAAGCTCACTGAGTTGGGTGGGGAGGCTGCCTGCACTGAGGCACAGGGACAGCACCGAGCGCAGTAGGTGTCCATGGCAGCCAGGAGAGAAGTGAGCTCCCCGGGCCGAGTCAGCTCCAGCAGCCCACAAGAGTGGCTCCTGGCCCCTCACAGACACCCTCAGGCTTCGGCCTGCGAGTTTGTGCCTTGGCTTGGCTGCACGTGCAGTTGCCTGTGCCAGCCTGCGGTGTCCCCGCAGCGTCTCCTGGCCTGGCAGCGCTGGGAACTGCAGTTGCCCCGCAGCGTCGCTGAAGGCCGCATGACCCGTGCGGTGCTGTACCTGCCACCTGTCGGCAGGAGAGCTGGTTTCCTAAGGTTCAGTCAGCACAGTGCACGCCGGGGACGAGGACGCTGTGTGCACCGTGGCAGGGCTGGAACTGCGGTTTATGCTGTCTTGTTTGCTCATCTCAAAGACTCCCAAGTCCGAGACGTGGCCCTGTGTGCTGGCTCCGGGAGCAGCGTCCTTCGGGGGGTGCAGGCTGACCTGTACCTCACAGGTAGGAACTCTCGCAGCTTTTAGGACAGTGCTGGGGACATAGGTGACATTTAAGATGTTTTTTGAACTTGAGTGGGAACACCAGAATTGGGAATGTAGTTTTGGGAAGGGAAGAAGTCACTTAATGATTTAGTATTAGATTATCTGAGAAATTGACATGCAGGCCTGTAGTCCCAGCTGCTTGGGAGACTGAGGCAGGAGGATTAAAGTTTGAGCCTAGCTCAACTTAGTGAGCACTTTTTCTATCAAAATAAAGAGATAAAAGGCTTGAAGGTGTAGCTTATTGGGAATGTTCTGTGTTCAGTCTGCAGTACTGACAGATAGTAGATAGACACATAGATAACAAGACTGGTTTGATGCCCTGCTGCCCCAAGTCAGTGTGTCCCTGGTCTGCACCCTGAGCTGCTGCAGCTGAGGTGGAGTCCTGCGTACTGGCTGCCTCAGAAACGGATCTAGATAAATCTCCTCCTCATCTTTTATGTATGTATGGGTGTATTTGAGACGGGTCTGAGTAGTTCAGGCTGGCTTCAAAGGTTCGATCCGTGTAGCCCAGGCTGGCCTTTAACTCATGGCGATCCTCCTGCCTCAGCCTTATGTGCTAGGATCATAGATGTGTGCCCTCTTCTTCCTCATCAGTAGCCTCGGACATTTGCTTGGGTCACCAAGAGGAAGTTAGGATTCTTGGTGGGATGGCTTTGGCTGTTCCATTTGCTTCACAGACGACACACGCTTGTGCTACTTCAGCTTTCTGTCTGGTGGTTAAGCATTTGTCTCCCCTGCCACAGGCGAAATGTCCCATCATGACGTCCTGGATGCCACTTCCCGCGGAATCAGCGTCATCCTTTGTGAACACAGCAACACAGAGCGAGGCTTTCTTTCTGAGCTGCGAGACCTGCTGAGTGTGCACCTGGAGAACAGGGTGCAGGTGGTGCTATCTCAGAGTGACAAGGACCCTCTCTGTGTGGTGTAGGCACCCTGTCTCAAAAAATCAGAGGAAACTAGACAGCTTAAGATTGCCCAAGGAGGGCTGGGGATATAGCTCAGTGGCATAAGTGCCTGCCTGGCAAGCACAAGGTCCTGAGTTCAATTCCCAGTACCAAAAAGATGAAAAATAAAAGATTGCCCAAAGCCCACGGCTAGGAAATGGGTTGAAGTCCAGACTTGGCCAGTGTGCAAAACTGTTTCTTAGATGCATTCACAGCAAAACTGGTGTTAGCAGTATGGGAGCAATCCAGTTTTTTTGAGACAGGGTCTCACTATGTACTTCAGACTCGCCTTGAACTTGCTATGGAACTCAGAGCAATCCTCCAGCCTCAGCCTCCCAGATCCTGGGATTGCACGTGTGCGCGCCACCCTGCCTGGCTAGCAATCCTCTTTTACTGTGATTTTTTTTATCTTTGGGTGGTATGATGGGAAATTAAAAAAAAATACTTCTAGTTTCTCTTTGCGACATGTTATTTTGATAATGGTAAAAACAAATCTTTCAAAACACTGTCCAAAATGTCCAGGGGTTTACATTTCTTTTGTAGGTTAGCTTTCTACCAATTGTCACCTGGAGGGCTCAGGACCCTAGCAGGGATCATTCACAGTGGGTCACTGAGAGCAGCCCGCAGACCTGAGCCCTGTGCCGCCATGTCCTTTGGGTTAGCTGTGGGTGAGAAGCGGTCTCAGGAGGGCTGGGCAGTCTCATCAGAAGAATGGTGACACTGCAGAAGTGCAGCTTTGGAAGCTGAGGCGCAGGGACATGGCCTTGGGGAACAAAGATGCCCACACAGGTTAAAGAGGGCCGTTGGTATTTTCAGAAATAAACTAAGCTAAAAAGTGATTCTATTCAAGTTGGCTTTTATTTGTTAATAGCACTCTGTTACATATACTTACTGTTCTCAAATGGTATACAGACACAAAAATATAAAAATAAACCATATATTTAAGAGCAAATGCAAAAATTTGCATGTTAGGTCATTAAAAGTTTTATATATTTTTATAGTATAACAGTTACAAATAAGACAAAAGCAAGAAAGCAAAGTACAAACCAGCAAGCATGGTACCACTATTTCTAAATGGAGGAGGAGACACCTTTCATATGCAGTGTCCAGTGGTGGCGAACCTTTCGGTAATAACAGACATCTGGCTGCCCCCTCGTGCCACAGGTTCGCCACCACTGGCCTAGACATGCACAGAAGAGCAGGGAAGATGCTGCGTGTGGCTGGCTAAGCCCTGTGCTCAGGGAGTGGAAAGCAAATTCATTCTCATTAAATACACTGGTACTGGCAAGAAAACTTACGAAGTCAATTCACGTACAAGTCATGTATTTTGAGTAGCTATATTTAAGACTATAATGGGTTTAACACAAAGTCAATCATACATCACAAAAAATTAACAAGATGAGAAATGAGTGAGAAAGCTGATGCTGCACAGATTTTATTAGTTCTGTTTTCACAAAGTATTTCATTTCCACGTGTGAAGTGTTTCGGGGTTGGGTGTGAAGACCAGACGCTCTCAGTGGTGGCCGAGCTTAGCTGTTTTTTCCCTAAGCACACAGGCTGTGTGAATACTCAGAGGCTGACACTGGCACTTTCCAAGAGGTGGAAAGATCCTGCATGTGTTTTATGTCTGCTGGACATCAGCCACTGTTACTAATATACTGTTCACCTGCCTAGTAATCAAGAAAATAAAAACGTCAGTATAAGAGAATAAAATAAAGTGTTTTATTTTCTGTTCTGAAAACAGTCACTAACCAGTAATTCTTACCCCTCAGCCTGGCTTCCCAGTCTGTCCCTGAGGTCAGGGTCACAGTGTGGCTGTGTTTTGTTTTGTTTGGTGGTGTGGGGAACTGAACTCAGGACCTTGCGCTTGCCAGGCAGGCACTTATACCACTGGCCTATATCCCAGCCCGTGGCTGTGACTTAACGCATCCCAGGCTGGGTTCCCTTGCCCTGCCGCCCCCACCACCTGTGTCCAAAGGGACAGAGTTCGGTCCCCCCCATGCACCTTTCCTGAGCTGCCCTCCCGACACACTGGCTTCAACATATAACGTGCGTGGGACACTCTGGGACAAGCACTCTGCAAACAGCCAGCTGGGGGAGTATTAAAGGCCCTCCTCAAAAAATTAGTATCTCTAGGTAGAAAAGCATTCAGAAACATCCAGTTCCAGCAGTCCCTGAGCATCCTCCATCCAGCAGGAAGTCTCCAGAGGTAATGATGAACAAAGGCACATTCGCTCGGCCGGGGGTACTTCGGAGCACTGGCTGTGGCCGCTGCCGGCTGTTGTACACGTGGTGCCCCGCGGCTCCGCACACCGGGAAGGGAGGAGTGGCGCGCTGGCTGCTGTGAAGGCCACGCTGGGCCGTGCCACGCCCACAGACCCCTCCAACAGAGGCAGCTTCAAGCCTCCTCCTCCTCCTCCAAGAAGTTGATCAGTGTCGCACTGTCAACGGGAATTAGTAAGTACTCCACGCCGTCAGCTCCCTGGAGGATCCAGAACACCCGCACATCAGTTCCTTGTAAGAGCTGCTCAAACCTACAGTGGGTTCAACTAAAAGCATGTTTCATTTCTCTTAAGGACCTTTTTTTTTTTTTTAAATTTATTTCGTTTGTTTTTGTGGTGCTGGGGATTGAACTCAGGGCCTTGTGCATGCCAGGCAAGAACTCCACCACTGAGCCACATCCCCAGCCCATTAAGGACTATTTTAAATAAATACGTAATTTAAAAATTAAGGCAAGATGGACACAGCGGCATACGCCTGCAATCCCAGCACTCGGAGGCTAAGGCAGGAAGATCACTGAGGGTCTGAGGCCAGCCTGGGCTACACAGTGAGACGCTATTCAAAACTAAACAGCACAACACACACACAGAACGTGCAAGGGGCCCAGGTGTGTGTTTTCTGCTTTGCAACTCTGGGTTCTGGTTAAGGCACTTTATGCTGGCAACGTCGGGGGGTGGCAGCTCCCATGCCCACCTTGTGCGGCTGCCCTGTCTCTCCTGAGCCTGACACCCCTTCCCCTTTCTCTGGGTCTCTCCTGCCGGCCTCTACACACCAGAGCACGGGCCACTCACTGTCCCAGCCTGCGGCACTGACCCCGGACCGCCACAGCCCCACCTGGCACTCCTGGAGTTGGGAACTGCACGCACGGTGACACGACGCCGTCCTGGGACGTGGTCTGCTTGGAGCATGGTGTAACGCCTGAGCCTACACGTGCTCTTCGCCCTTCAGGAAGTGCTCGCCGCCTCAGCTCCCCTCCTGGCTCCCAGGACGTCATCTCCCGAGGCCAGGCGTCGCAGCAGGCCTCCCTCCCGGCCCTCTCACACCCGCTACCCGGCCGGGCTGCCCGCTGTGGTCTTGGCCCTGGCCTGGGTGCCAATGCCTGTCCGCCTCAGCCCTCAGCCCATGTGTGCATCTCTGCTACGGAGCAGGCGTTACTGCCCTGCCTCCTTGCACCTCCCTGCACATCGCCTGGTGCTCCGCCCTGCTAAGAGGTGGGAGCACCTGCAGATCCGTACAGCCCCCTCCGGGCACAGGCACGTGGCGTCTGAATGACACTTTTATCTCAGAGACTGAAACCCTTCCCCTGGTCTCAGACACACACGGTGCAGCCCGAGGCCACCTTGAGCTCCCGGTACACACTGGGCGCCCTCCTTTCCTGGGTCTCTGGCTGTGCTTTCCCGGCTGGAATACGCCTTTCCTCTCAGGATCCCCACTCTGTATGGCTCTAGTTCACCTGGGGCTTCACCTGCGCTAGGCAAGTGCTGTGCCACGGAGCTCCGCCTGCAACCCCTTTTTAAACGCTTTTATTTTGAGATTCAGTACTGCTGAGTTGGGATATAGTTCAGTGGCACAGTGCCTGCCTGGCAAACAAGGTCCTGAGTTCGATTCCCAGTTCCAAAAAAAAAAAGTATTGCTAAATTGCCCAGGCTGGAACTCAGTCCCTCCTTCCTGAGCCTCCTTTGTGGCTGAGAGTGTAAGTATGTGCTGCCGTGCCCAGCTACCTCCAAGTGGAGAGATCTAACCAGTGCATCTCAGCACAGTGATACCCAGAATGAGGTCAAATTCACCTGTTTTATTTTTTTGTCTTTTTGAGACAGGGTCTCACTGTGCAGTTCAGGCTGGCCTTGAGCTCACTTTGTAGCCCAGGCTGGCCTCAAACTTCCAACGATCCTCCTGCCTCAGCCTTCTGAGTACTGGAATAATAGGCATACGCCACCACGGCTGGCTAAAGTTTTACATGTGCGTGGTTACCTGACACTGTCCACATCTCTCTACTAGGCTTTAAGTTCTAAAAGAAAGGCACCTACAGCATGGTTTTGCTATTACTGTGTCCTACTACTTCATGTGTATCTGACCCTCAGGAAATACTGACTGGGTTGCTGGACGGGAGAGGGGGACAGAAGGGAACAGCGCGGCACGGCTCCTGCTCTGCTGCTTGTGGCTGCTCGCTTGGCCTGGGCTCATGAAGCTGGCCCCGGCTTCTTCCCACCAGCTTTTTCTGTCCAGCCCAGTGCTGCAGGGACTGGTGAGTCCATGGAGACTCACTGCGCATCCGGGCTGAGTCCAGGGGCCTCCTGCCCCTCAGTACAGGCACATACGGCTCCTGTGGGAGCAGCTGAAACCCAGTCTTACCTTCTTCGTTCTTATGAGCCTGTGGTCCCTGAACTCAGTCAGCTGGGCCCGAAGCGTCAGGTCACTGTTGACAAGGAAGGCCTCCCGACACTGCTGGTAGAAGTCTTGGAAGGACAGCCCTGGAGAGTTCAAGAGGAGAAAGGGCCTCAGTCAGCCCTACAGGCAGGTCCCGGAGGGAAGCGCAGCTGCCTGTTGTGATGCCGCCCACACGGTGGATGAGGAGAGCGAATGAAGCTAGGAAGCACTTGGGTGCTGCCCGTGGAAGCTGAGTCAGACAGAGCCAACTGCTGGACTCGGTCAGTGCGACTGAACAGCACATTTCAACAGCTTGGGCTAAGCTGACTTTCAGAAACAACTAAGTTGGGCTTGGCGGTGCACACCTATAACCCTAGCACTCAGGAGGCCGAGGCAGGAGGGTTACTGCAAAGTGAATTCAAGGCCAGCCTGAACTGCATAGTGAGACCCTGGTGGAAAGAAGGAAGGAAGGGAGGGAGGGTGGGCGGGAGGAAGGGAGGCAGGCAGCCAGGCAGGAGAAACCTAAGTCATGAGAGGTGACCAATTACTACAGCTTATTTGTCATTAACATTTTTTCCCAGCCAGGCGTGGTGATACACACGCCTGTAATCCCAGCACTCGGGAGGCTGAGGCAGGAGGATCACTGCGAGTTCCAGACCATCCTGGGCTATAAAATGAGCTCAAGGCCAGCCTGCGTAGAGATTCTGTCTCAAAAAGACAGAAACAACAACAACCACAACAGCTACCATTTTTTTCCCAAAAGGAAGAAAGTCTCCTAAAATGCCCGAGTATGAAAAGCACAGTGCAGGCAGACACGAAGTCAAGGCTCGGTGCGGGGACGTCGCAGCCGGCTGGGCGGCCCTTCAATCACACTGGGGGACAATGCGCCTGGGCGACAGGAGGGCGGGGGGAGCGGCTCGCACAGGGTCACCAGTGTTAGATACCAGTGTAGGAAGGGTCCTCCTGCTTATCCAGCTGATACTTCATTAGCAGCCTGAAAATTCCCCTAGGGAAAGAAAAACACCGATCAGAGCCAGAATCCGCAACAAGGGAGGGAAGCAGCGAGAGCCGGGTGTCTCACTATCCTGCCCTCCCTCAGAGACACGGCCCCGCCTCAGACAGGAAGAGCCTTTTTATCTAGGAGTGCTTCTTAGGCTTCTTTGAGGTTTTATTCCTCTGTGCTACACATGCTGACTACTTTCACTGTGGGGAGCTGGTACACACACGTAACGTACCTCCCTTCTTTTCACTTCTCTGTTCTTTTGGGTTTTCTCTCACTGGGGATTACTCCCCCTTGTAGAAAATTTGGAAAGCATTATAACATCTAAGAGGCAAATGCCAACTCCATAACCTTAAGGTAACACTAGGTGTTGCTGTCAGTAGGCATGAGGCAGGACTGGAATATATGAACTCATACATTCATGTATATAACATGCACCTTTAAAAATTTTCTTTCCTGGGCTGGAGATACAACTCTGGCACAGCGCCTGCCTGGCAAGTGCAAGGTCCTGAGTTTGATTCCCAGTACAAAAAAAAAAATTTTTTTCCTAGCACTGGGGACTGAACCCAGGTCCTTTGCACCAAGCTGCATCCCAGCGCTTTTTGGAGACTCGATCTCACTAAGTTGCTAAACTGCCCAGGCTGGGCTTGAATTTGAAATCCTTCTGCCTCGGCCTTGCAGAGCACTGGGATTACAGGTGTGCCCACCACGCCCAGCTGTGTATACCATTTTGTACCTTTTCTTTTCTTTTTTGAGACTGGGTCTCGCTGTGCAGTTCAGGCCAGCCTTGAGCTCACTTTGTAGCCGAAGCTGGCCTTGGAACTTGCGACGATCCTCCTGCCTCAGCCTCCCAAGTGCTGGGATTACAGGGATATGCCACCATGCCTGGCTAATTTCCTTTTCAATTATTAATTTTTTTCCTGTATCTTTTTAAGCTGCTTCCAAGTAAATTTTAATGATTTAGTACAAACCACAAACTAGCCATCTCCCTATTTTAGATTAGATAATTGCCTCCTTTTTTTTCCCTTAATTTTGACACAGGGTCTTTCTATGTACTTCATTGAGCTCACTTTGGTAGCCTATGCAGGTCTTAAACTTATAACGATCCTCCTGCCTCAGCCTCCCAAGTGCTGGGATTACAGGGATGAGCCACCATGCCCGGCTAATTTCCTTTTCAATTATTGATTTTTCCTATATCTTTTTAAGCTGCTCCCAGGTAAATTTTAATGACTTATTACAAACCACAAACTAACCATCTCTCTATTTGTTTTGGATTAGATAATTGCCTCTTTTTTTTTTTTTTTTTTTTGAGACAAAGTCTCTTTATGCAGTTTAGGCTGCCTTTGAGCTCACTTTGTAGTCTAGGCTGGTCTTGAATTTATAACGATCCTCCTGCCTTAGCCTCCTGCATGCTGGGATTACAGGGATGCACCACCATGCCTGGCTAATTTCCTCTTTTAGATGATTCAAAATAACTACATTAAGTAAAAGTGTACATTTTTCATATTGTGAATTACTCCTGTGGGAGAGTAAACCAAGTGGAACTATGGAGTTTAAAGGAATATTACACAACTGAATATTCCCAGGAGTTCCTGGCTATACCAAAATTCCTGAGGCTTTGCATTTTCACTTTTATGGTGATATAGAGAATAATTCTATAATCACATTTTGGATCTCCTGAATGACCACTTTGTAACTACTGTGAATTTTGATGAAGATTCTTGGTCAATGATATGCATATCAAGTAAAAACTAGATCACACGGACTTTGCAGAATGAACCAAAATTTCAAATCACTTAAAACTTTAAGGAAGTGTGGAGGCTGACATCCGGGTGCTCAGGCACGCCCAGATAAAAACTCTCTGCATTAGAGCAGTCAGTGCCTGTTTAATGTCCAGCATTTGTATTTTTGTTTTTTGTCTTTTCACTATGTATGTAGTCCAGGGTGGCCTTGAACTCACTGTGTAGCCCAGGCTGGCCTCAAACTCACAGCCATCCTCCTGCCTCAGCCTCCCGAGTACTGGGATTACAGGTGTGTGCTACCACACCCAGGCAAGTACAGCATTCTTGTCCTACACAGACCTCAACTTCACATCAACTTACAACAGTCCTTTACCAGTAAGTACAATAGCAGAATGGAGGGAAGACCTTTTCTCCCCGCAATTCCACCAAAACAGCTAACGACAGCTGGGCTAGGGGTGTAGCTGAGGGCAGAGCACTTGCTAGGCATGTGCGAGGGCCTGGGTTGGATCCCCAGCACAACAAAAAAGAAAAAAAAGCATTACTGCAATACTAATCTTACTTTCAGTCTACAAATTAATAGATAATAATTTTTTACAGTGCTGGGGATAAATCCAGAAATCACGAATGCTAGGCAAGTACCCTACCACCGAGCTGCCCCGGCCCTGGCTGCCCTTCCTTCCAGCTGTTGTTTTCTACTTACCCTGTTTGCTGCATGTCTGGAAAAGGGGGATGCATTTGAGCAGGAAAGTGCTATGCTGTCTTGGCCAGAAGTGTCTGCCCAATGTGCTTTTTAAACAGTCTTTGCTATTATATCTTAAGACAGTCCCACCTGCTTACAGTTTAAGTGAATTTTGTATCAAATTTAAAAGACAATTTTTAATGTTCTATTTATTTAGTTAGTGAATCTATCTACAGAAGTGGGGATGGAGCCCAGGACCTGGCACATGCTCGGCAAGTGCCACAGTACTAAGCTCCACGCCCAGCCCTCGATACGCAGTTGTTAAAGAAGAAACATCTTCCTTCTCACCTTGCATTGGGGGTCAGGCTTCGCAAGACGTGCGTCAGGGCACCCAGGGGGAGCGAGCCGGACTGCTTGACCAGCAGGGAGCTCTCGTAGGATGTCTCCTCAGTGTAGGGGCTGTATGTGGTAGTCTCATACCACAGCCAGTTATAAAGGCTCTGCTTGGCATGATCCCACACTAGCATGAGCAGAGAACAGAATTACAAAATATTTTCATATGGTCATGTTACTAGATTCCATTCCAGAAGAACATTCAATAGAGGATCCTAAACTTTTTCATTTTTAATCAATTCCTCATCCAAATCAGTAACTCACAATCTGATGTCACTATCAATCAACATCTGAATCTTTATTTGCACATTAAATACAAATTGAAATATCAGGCATCTTTTAAAAATTAGCAATTCAATATTTCGTTCTGCAGGATCATCACAAAGGATGTGAATTAAGTTCATAAAAGAAACACTGCAACACCCGAGAGTACAAAGAGGCCCGAAGCACAACCGTGTGACTTCTCCTCTAAGATACCCCTCCCCTCTTCAGGGTGTGAGCGTCTGTTTTCAAGGACTCTGCTGTGGCTAGCACTGTGGAACATATGTGTGATCCCAGCTGCTTGGGTGCTAAGACAGGAGGGTCGTTAATTCCAGGCCAGCCTGGGCAACTTCGTGAAATCCCACCTCAAAACAAAATAGAAATACAAAAGAGGAATGAAGTCCAGGGCTCCCTGGCTTCAATCTGCAGCACCACAGAAGGACCAAATCAAACCGAGTGTAACTGTCTTTTAGGCAACTTGTGTGCTTTTTTCTTTTTGGTACTGGGTATTAAATCTAGGTCCTTCCCACTGAGCTACATCCCCAGCCCTTTTGAAAATCTTTTTTACATTTTGAGGCAGGCTCTAATTAAGCTGTTAAATTGGCCAGGCTTGGGTTGACATTGAGATGTTCCTGCCTCAGCCTGCCACAGTAAGGTATTACAGGCATGTGCCCTGACACCTTGCTTGTTTTTGTTTGTTTTTCCTTTGATGAAGAGTCTAAATAAGTAGCTCAGGCTGGCTTCAAACTCATTATGTAGCCAGGCTGGTCTTAAACTCAGGACCCCTTTGCTTTAGTCTACTTTGTGTTGGCACTATAAGCATGCACCACTATATCCAGCTAACCTGTGTCTTTAAATATGTAGGGTGGGGGGAATACTAAAATACAGTAAAAAATTTTGAAACATTAATCTTCAAGAAAGAAAGCAGGGGGGCTGGGGATTTAGCTCAGCGGCAAAAGCGCCTGCCTGGCAAGCGCAAGGTCGTGAGTTCGGTTCCCGGTACCGGAGAAAAACCAAAAAAAAAAAAAAAAAAAGAAAGAAAACAGGCTGGGTTATAGCTCAGTGGCACAGTGCCTGCCTGGCAAGCATGAGGTCCTAAGCATGAGGTCCTGAGTTCCATTACTGGCACCAAAAGCAAGCAAGCAAGCAAGCGATATTTAACTTACTAAGAGGAGCATTGAGGTGATCAATAGATGCTATCAGGTATATGTTTCGCAAAGATGACAGCTGTCCAATCATCTGCTGGCTCTTGTCTCCTCTCAACATTTGGCTGTCCAAGTTGTGGATAACAAGGAAGAGTTCTAAAGAAGAATCTGAAAGGAAAGGGAATCCAACTGTAACTTTCAGTAAGTATTTGTGAAGTCTCTACCACACATAAATGCCTACATAGTAAAGTATGTGTCAACGCAGTATAGGATATCAGCACTTGGGAGGCTGAAGCAGGAGGATTGCTATGAGTCTGAGGCCAGTCTGGGCTACACAGTGAGTTCAAGGCAAGTCTGAACTGCACAGAGAGACCCTGTGTCAAAAACAAACGAACAAAAATAATATAGGTTAAGTAACATTGCCAAGCTGGGCCTGGTGATGCACGCCTGTAACCCAGAGCTCTGAGAGGCTGGAGCAGGACCACTGCAAGTTTAAACCCAGCCTGGGAACTGTGTGAGACTGTCTCTAAATAAAAACTAAGCTGGGCATGTGGCACATGCCTGTAATCCCAAAACCTGGGAGGCTGAGGAAGGAGGATCGCCATGAGTTTGAGACCAGCCTGGGCTACATAGGGAGTTCAAGACCAACCTGAACTACACAGTGAGACCATGGCTCAAAAAACCAAAAATGAATGAATGAATGAGGTGAGGACCGAGCTCAGAACCTAAGATGTTATCAATTATCACGCAAGTCAGGCCCTAACGTTTTTGGTGGTGGTGCTGAGGACTACGCCCAGAGCCTCACACGAGTCAAGTGCTCCACCACGCAAGATGCACACACCAGACAGCAGGTGGCTGGGTGCACGCTGCACTGCAGGGCAGGAGCGCCAGGGACAGCAAACAGGGCTTTCAAGGTGGAAGAAAGAGACTGCAGAAAGCCCTGCTTATGACAGAAGCCAAGGGAGACAAAAAAGTGGGAGAGCTTCAGGAGCTGCACAAGCGTCAGGGAGTGAAAGTCAGTGATCGGTTTAGGGATGGAGCTGACAATACCATTGAATACGTCAGAGATCAAGATAAAGAATGAAATCAGGCCATGAGCTAAAGAAAAAGAAAATGACAGATAACCAATAGCAAACAGCTCTGGTAGCATACAAGGAAAAAGCAGGTTAAAAAAAAATAGAAGGTGGGGGGCTGGGGATTTAGCTCAGCGGCAAAAGCGCCTGACTGGCAAGCGCAAGGTCGTGAGTTCGGTTCCCGGTACCGGAGAAAAACCAAAAAAAAAAAAAAATAGAAGGTGGGAAGCTGGGTGTGGTGCACGTATCTGTAATCCCAGCACCCGGAGAGGCTGGGGCAGGAGGACTGCAAATTAAAGCCGCAACAGCCAAGGACAACCGATTCTAGAAGTCTAAATCAGCATATAAATGGTTCTTATCAAAATGATCTTCATTTTTGTTTGTGCAGACAGACACACATGTTTAACTACATTCTAAAACTATACACCATCCACTTCATGTTACCTTCTTTAAATCTGCTTACGATCCAGTCTAGCTGATCCAGAGGACTTCGGAAAGTGCCCCTATGATCAAGGACTTCTTCTGTAATAGAATTCAGGATCTGTACCGTGAGAGCACAAGAGGTACCACAGCAATTACCACGTATTCTGACACAGGACAAATACAGCTAGCACATCACTCCTCTTTACAGGTTAAAAGTTAGTTTGGACTTCTCATGAAAACCTAAAAAAATCACTTTAAAGCTTTCTAGCAGAGACTTAAGTATCCACCAATTCATTCTTTTGCATGAATCGCAATTTAAAGGAAATAGGGAAGGGAGTAAATGTATAAAGATAATATGAAAAGGCAACAAAAACCAACAAAGACCCCCAACTGTGAGATCAGACAACCATACATTTATCACAGGAAACAATACACACACCAAGGACACTTCAAGAAAGGAATACTACGCTGGTTAATACCTAGCATCCAATAGCTTTAAGTTACTTCTTAAAATGATGAAGAAATAGAGCATATGAAGGTGACCTACTGTTGGGGACCACTACAGAGCTGCTCTGAGCAGGATTTAATATTAACCAGTTGGCTTCCCGTGTTTACTTGTGAGCTGTCTGAAGCTTAGGCACCTTGTCTAACAAGGTAAGGCGGCAGCTGAGGAGGTTTGGCTCCAGCCCGTTAACTATGAGAAGGCTGCAACTGCAGTTTCCACACTCCTACAATAAATACCAACCTAAAGATAAGGTATTTCTCCCGATTGTCGTAATTTACTGCTTGGGAAAATTCTCCCAAGGTCCTGTAAGATTCCCTCGATTTCTTGAGTATCCTTCTCCTTTGTTTGAAAACCAAACAAATACGGGCTGCCCAGAGCAATCTCTGGCTAACTCAGAGAGTACTGAAGCTGTAAGAGTGAGTCCCTCCTGGAGCCCTGAAATCATTTCCACTGTCTCATTTATTTAAGCCTTCGCTGTCCATTCGCTTGGGAGATTGCGGGCCTGATCAGCCAGCAATAACTTAGGGTTATTTAACCCAGTTTTTGATAACCTATGATAAACATACTGTAAATCGACAGACTTCTACGTTTTTGTATTTTTAGAATACTAAGATGGCCAAAAAATGTAATCAGCCTGCAGACTCCATAATCCTATACGTCAGAGAAGTTCTGTTATTTGGTAAACAAAGTTAGCATTTCTTAAAATGTAATACATGTCAGCTGGTTACATGGTGGGGAATTCAAAGGCACAGTTTAAGGAAGGTCCCTCTGAGTCCAAACTTGATCTTCCACACTGCACAATCTACCGAGTGTGGAAGCTGAGACAGCGTTTGAATCCGTCCCAGGACAAGGAAGCACCCTCAGGCCTGGAGAAACGGCCTGGCAGGGGACACAATGCAGCCTCTGGAACGTTTCTGAAACTTACTGACTTCACACTGATCCCAGGAAAGAAGCCATTGATGACAACATGGACGGAGTCCTGCAGCACGGTGGTCCGGAACCTTTCTAGTAAATCTCTCTTAGAACCCAAACCATAAAGCACAATGTTGAAACCAAGGCTGTTGGGAAAGAGAGAATCCAGAAAATTAAACTTTGAAACTTCTTACTGCTAACTTTGTTATTAACCAATTTCTTTACTTTACACTTACAAAGCAAGTGTAACTGGAAGGTTTTCAGTGGGACGGCCACATGATCTTTAGAAAGTCATGCAGCTGTGTTAGAATGGATGGACAAAAGAGGAATGAAGCTGCCAAAGATGAAAAATGCGTTAGCTTCAGTGACCAGTTCCGTGGTGGGAGAGGACAAGCGCACACTCAAGATGAGGCAACATGTAAGCGGGCAGGGGCCGTTCGCTGTCTGGACGGGGCGGATGGGAATGACAGGTTCTGGAGGAGTGCAATCTTTCTCCTGCTCCTTTGGCACAAAGGATGGGGTCCACGGCCTGGTGCATCGTACTGCTCAGCTCCACCCTGGACCCTCCTGTGGTCTCACGCTCGGGATCACAGATGAGCTCAATTTGATCTCTGTTGAATTTCCTAAGGGAACCCAGGAAGCAGCTTCCAACGCACATTCAGACCCACACTCCCGCTGCTGCTGAGTGAGGTCAGGGTGCAGCTGCTGCGTGCAGACTGCGAGAGAAGCCCAGAGAGGACACCCAGGGCTCCACTCAAGATGGTCTAGGGTGGCCTGTGGCGATGCAGGACAGCCGGACACAGAGGAGCAGCAGAGGGAGCCCCGGGAGGTGGGGACTGGGGGCAAAGTGGACAGAAGGCTGGCTTCCTGCTGCGGGGAGGGATGGGAGTGTAGAGCTCAGCTCCCAAAACGCTCCTGAGAAAGAAAGCCCCCGCAGCAGGGAGGAGCACCCTCTCCTCAGCACAGCACACTGTTTACAGAAAAACACCAAGCACGGCAGGGCAGCCATGGCCACGCTGTGCTCGGTGGACCTGCCTTCCTGCCCCGTGACAGCGACCCCATGAGTGTGAGCACCTTTACATCAATGTGCACTTTTAGCATTTCCCTACATCCTCTTCTGTCTGCATTTTTGAGGCAGGATCTCTTGTTTGCAGTCCAGACTGGCCTTGAACTTCTAGTCCTCCTGCCTCAGCCTCTTCAGCCACCACACTCAGCTAAAGCCCTTCTAATGCAAGTATGAGAGCAAACAGTTCCTACGATTTGATTTTAATCACTTGGTATTTTAACAGAAATTTAAACTCCTTGTGGTATCTGAAAACCCAAGAAACTGAGGAATAATCTAAGAAATAATAATTTTTAAAATGTTTACAGAACAAATTTTATGAAGTTCTGACGATATATGTACATCGAGTTATATAAAAAGTATATATTCTTTCATCATAAAAGCTTTACTATGAAAAACCAGACTATAATCTAATTGATAGTCATTAATTTGATGACACACATTTTTATCTATTTATAAGTAATTTCTTCATAGACTTTTAATCCTTTTAATTTATTTGTTTTGGCCTTTTTAAGACAGGGTCTCACTATGCAGTTCAGGCTGGCCTTGAACTCATTTTGTAGCCCTTGCTGGCCTTGAACTTGCAGCAATCTACCTGCCTCAGCCTCCCAAATGCTAGGATTACCAGTGTACCTCATCACGCCCAGTGACACAGTTTTAAAAACTAGAATTTATGAAAAGAGTCATACAATAAAATAATATTTCTATATCTGAGTCATCCAACTGAAATATACGTAATTTTAAATAAATATATCAAGTTTATGATAAAAACAACACATTAAATTAGCATAAAAACACACAGCAAGTTTTTTTTTCAAAGGTTCACAATAATATTGAGCCAGGTGTAGTGGTGTACACTGTAACCTAGCACTCAGGAGGGTGAGGCAGGAGGATAGCCCTGAGTTCAAGGCCAGCCTGAACTACATGGTGAGACCCTGCCTCAAAAAAAACCCAAAAACCAAACCAAAACAAAAATACAATACTTACTGTAACTGCAGCATCCATTTATGAAATAATTTTTCATGTTGTTGATTTAATTGTGTAAGTTCAGCAGAAAAGGAAGGAGAAACTTTGCTCAGTAAGTTACGCAGAGTTTGCTAGAAAAAAAAGAGGAAGCATATCATCTTCAAACCACACCTATCAGCTGGGCATGATGGTGCACGCCTGTAATCCCCTGCACCTGGGAGGCTGAGGCAGGAAGATCATTGTGAGTTTGAGACCAGCCTGGGCTATAAAGTGAGCTCAAGGCCAGCTTGAACTGCATAGCGAGACCCTGTCTCAAAAAGACAAAAACAAAAACAAAAATAAACCACATCTGTCAATCAGTCCCAACTAAAACTTTCTTCAGATTGCGCTTGCAAGAGGCCATTAGGGGTGTCTTACCAGGCTTGGAGATGAGCACATCAACTAAACACGTGCAATACTTCAGAGACCCATAAATGTCCCCTTCTCTATGTGTTTTTGGTGGTGCTGGGGTTGAGCTGACCCTTAAGACGGGGTCACTGAACTGCCCTGGCTGGGCTCAGACTTGCAATTCTCTGCCTCAGCCTCCCAAGCCACTGTGATGGAGGTATGTATCACTACACCAGGAGTACATTTGTTTCTTAAAAATTTTTAAGTATTCTTTTCAATATAAAAATGTAGTAACATTTAACCATTTGCTAAGTTATGTCCAGAACCTTTAAAATGATTACAAATTCCTAAAAAGACAGTGTCCGTTTGAGATGATGAAACCCACTGCCCAGTTCTGACCACAAATTCAGACTCTTAAAGCCTGTGGGGGGCAGGAGATATGGCTCAGTGGCATGGCACCTGCCTGGTAAACACAAGGTCCTGAGTTCAATTCCTGGCACCAAAAAAAAAGGCCTGTGGGTTGGGGACTGGGGTGGAGCTCAGTGGTAAAGTATCTGCTTAATATGTGCGAGGTTGCCAAGCACAAGAAAAGAAATAAAACAAAAACAACCTTTGCATCTGAAAACATGTAAAAGGGTAAGATAACAGTTCAAAATATATACATCTCAGAAAACATTATTGTTCTTTAAAATTTACCATTATCATATAGAAACTTGTTCTTTTTCACTCTTTATTACTGTTCTTTTTCAAAGAGTTATTTCTGACAGAGCTGGGCATGGTGGTGCACACCTGTAATCCCAGCACTTGGGAGGCTGAGGCAGGAGGATCCTTGCGAGTTAGAGACCAGCCTGGGCTACAAAGTGAGCTCAAGGCCAGCCTGAACTGCATAGGGAGACCCTGTCTCAAAAAGACAAAAAAGAAGTTATTTCTGACAAATCCTTTACCCTTTGTAAGTATGGGAAAAATTTAAAAATAGTAATATATATAAATTTTTTTTTTAAAAAAAGGGAAGCCAGGCATGCTGGCACTCACAGGTAACCCCTGCACCAGGAAAGGTGAGGCAGAAGGATCATGAATTCAAGCCAGCCTGGGCTAAATAGGAAGAGTCTATCTCAACAAAAAGAAAAAACTCAGGGAGATCAATTACCTTAGAAATTTTTGTTAATAAACCAAGTATAACTCATGTTTTGAAAGAAAACTCCACTGAAGAAGGCAGTGGTGAGAAGAGTGCTGGGCCAGCAGCCCTGCTGGCTGCAGACTTGAGAAATGAGCAGCCCGGGCCACACGCAGTTACAAACACCGAGACCGGCTGAGCCACCCATGCTGCGTCTAAGCCAGGGAAAGGCCTCCCCTTTCATCGGCAGCAACAGGGCCTCGTCCGTCCTCCCCAAGGTCTTTCTGCCTCCAGGTCCTGCTTTTATCTCATCCTCATGGCCGTCATGCAAAATAAAATGCACTCTCTAGGCAAGCATTAGTCTCAACTGTTCCCTGGAAAAACTTTCTGCCTTCTTTTTGGTACAGGGTCTTGCTATGAAGCCTGGACTGACCTCAAATTTTGCATGATGTCTAAGCTGGCCTTGAACTTAAGCTCCTCCTGCCTCAGCTTCCCCAGTGCTAGGATTATAGGGATATGCCACCAAGATCAGCTCAACTTGGCTTTATGACACTTACTTTTAGCTAGTCTCTCATTTTCACCTCAATACCAATGACCCAGGTAACAAAAAAAGAAAAGTCAATACGACCACGATGCATTATATTATTCAAGTCACAGAGCCTCACCCCACGTCCTCCTGCCTCTTTTCTCTATCTTGAAAGCCCTGTCAAAAGCCCTGTGCACCTTGGGATACACACTGAACTCTGGTTCACAGAGCACAGTTTGAGCATCCTTAATCCAAAAAATAAAAAACAGAAAACGTTCCCAAATCTCAACCTTTCCCAGCGCTGACCTGATGCTACCGGAGGAAACTCCACACCTGAGAGGACGCGGCAGATGCCGTCTAGCACGGTCCCAGGCCCTCAGCACACGGCACCCACGTGGGCTGTGTTTAGACTCAGGCCCCAGCCCCAGGACCTCATTATGTTTATGCAAACATCCTAAAATACGAAGCAGTCCAATCTGGAACACTTGTGGTTCTAAGCACTCCAGGTAAGGGGTACTAAGCCTGCATGATGAAGTACTGGTGATCTGCGGGCCAGTAACATTCTCTTCCTGACTTAGATTATCAACCCCACTTTCTACTGAAAGATTTTTTTCTTCTCAATACAGGGGAGTGAATCTAAGGCCTTTCTGCTGAGCTACATCCCAGAGACAGACTGGGATTGAATTTGCCATCCTCCTGCCTCAGCTTCCCGGGTTGGGATTACAGGTGTACACTACCATGCCAGGTGAACAATTCTGCTGATCAGATGTTTCCTCTCTTCCATATAGCTGTAAAATCAGCTCGCAAAACCACAGTACACAGTACACTTGTTACCTTACTGGACATTTCCATAATGTCAAGGAGAACACCTTCAATATTTTGCCAAGTTTGCGAGACAAAGCTTGCAGTTTTGTTTTATGACCACTGTGGGGTTAAGTGAACTTGTGGATGTCAAGTGCTACCTGTGGCTGTCATTTTTTTTCAGTGAAGAATTGTCTTGGGTTGCATATAAAATATAAAATATGGTTAATATATATAAGAAAACTTCCTCTTTTTAAAGTATTTTTATTATAATATTTTTTAAAATGAAGGGCAAGAGAATAAAAGGTGGGCTACAGATTGGACACACACTTGAATGGTAGTGGACATCAAGGAACTATGACTCAGATGCCTATAAATCCTGACGAAATGAAAATTTTTTTTTTGTACTGGGAATCGAACTCATGACCTCATGCTTGCCAGGCAGGCACTGCACCAAGGAGCTAAATCTCTGTCCCCGAAGAAATGAAAGAGTAATGAGAAAAACTACATAATTCATCCTGTCAAAGAGAACTCCAATTGCCAGGTGTGGTGGCACACGCTGAGGCAGGAGGATCACTGCGAGTTCGAGACGAGCCTGGGCTACAAAGTGAGCTCAAGGCCAGCCTGAACTGCATAGTGAGACTCAGTCTCAAAAAGACAAAAAAAAAAAGAACTCCAGCCAGGTGTAGTGGTGCACTCAGGAGGCTGAGGCACAAGGATTACCGCAAGTTTGAGAGCAACCTGGGCTATATATTGAGTTCAAGGCCAGCCTCGACTGCATAGCAAGACTCCATCTCAAAAACAAAACAAAAGAAGGGGGAAAAAAAAGAGAGAGAGAACTCAGTCTGGGGTTACGTAGCATTTGCAGAGTAAAGTGGGTAGCCATCCCACCACCGCGCGTCCTGTCTGGGCAGGACACTCACTTTGCTCACGCACACTCTCTCTGAGGACTGTGCTAACGCAGTGGGACACGCCAGGATGTGCCAGAAGTGCCCTTCCTCACCACACACCTGATCCAGGGCCGCTCTCTTCAGCTTCTGCAGGGTTCTGTCCGAAGTCAAGACTTGGGAACTGCTGTGAGCTTCAAAATATTCTTCCACTAAGTTGCTCTGAGAGGGAAAGTGAAACGTCAGTACTAGGTAGTTTCAGATCTTTGTGTTCTAGTACACCAGACATAAAATGAGACATAAACATAAAATAGAACGTCAGTCTTTTTCGCTGGGCACAACGGCACATGCCTGTGAATCCTAAGACTCTGGGAGCCTTAGGCAGGAAGATCACAAATTCAAGCCCAGCCTGGGTAACTTACCACCTCGTAAGAACCTGTCTCAAAATAAAAAATAAATAGGGCCAGGAAAGTAGTTCAGTGCAGAGGACCTCACCTCAACCCACAGTAGTACCTGAATAAATAAATAAAATGAAAAAGCTCCTTTTGTTTTGTTGCTACGTTGCCCAAACATAGTTTGGTGTCAAACTTGTGGGCTGCAGGGTCCTCCTGAGCAGCGTCCAGAGCAGGGGCCCCAGCTGCGGACCCCTCGCTTGACTCAAACCTCTTCCTCTGACAGCATTTTCTTTCTGAACAGCAACCGGCAAAGGACAAGGATACTGAACTGCAGTTATAAAACTGTGTAATTCTTAGGATTAAGCAAGCAATTGAAGCAGTCTGTTCTGAAAAAAGTGGTTCCTACACTACAAATATACAGTGTAATTTTCCATTTATACTAACAAACAGATGATGCTGGGTAGCAGGACCTTAGTTTCTCCTCAAGCAGCCTTAGTAAGTCCTCTAATGCAGCAAGGATGAGATACCGTGCAAATAAGAGGTCAACTGACAGCAATGTCAGTAAAAAGAAAAACAAGCAGGGCATGATGGTGGACTCTGTAATTCCAGCTACTCAGGAGGCTGAGGCGGGAAGATCTCAAGTTTGAGGCAAGCCTGGGTAATTCTGAGACCCTGTCTCAAAACAAAAAATAGAGGCCTCATGTGATGGCACATACCTGTAATCCCAGCACTTGGGAGGCTGAGGCAGGTGGATCACTGTGAGTTCGAGGCCAGCCCGCGCTACTAAGTGAATTTGAGGCCAGCCTGAACTGCATAGCAAGACCCTGTCTCAAAAAGACAAAACAAAAACCACATCAAAATAAAAAATAGAAAGGGCTAAGGATGTAGCTCAGTGGTAGAGTGTCCCCGGCGCTCTCTCCAGTACTGAGCGGCGCCCCGAGGTCCTGACCGGGAGGTGAGGAAGGTGTTTACATGTGGGCTGCCCGGGCTCTTCAGCACACCTTCGTCCAGACCCAGGAGCCGTCCCCTTCCTGCAGCTAGGCTGCCTGGCACACTCCCCTCACAAGACAGTGCAGACCAGGGGCCACACCCTTCATTGCTCACACTCACTCGAACTCGTCAGCAGCGCACAGAACGTGCTAGGAAAAGGGATACAGTTGCAAGTCTCAGCACCAACTGTCCAGTCAACAGTGAGTGAAAAGCTCATTTCCGTACCAATGAATTGAGATGCTGCCTCTACCATGTACTGTGGTGCTGATTCCCAAACACACACAGGCAAGGATACGAAGCACGAAAGTTGAAACAAATATATACGGTAAGTTACAAGTAAGGCCGAGAAAGTACAGAAAAATGAAGGGAAAAACGTCCACTGATCGCTGCTGTGACCTTTTCTCTCAGGGCAGCCTTCTGGGGAGGTATCTACAGTTCTTCTCTAAGGTTAGTCCCTTCACTTACACTTTTATCTCTCTTCATTTTCTTTGAAGGTGTTCCTTTGCAGACAGGCGCTGAAACCCTACTCTGAGCCCGAATCTTCTGGCTGAGTACAGATGCATCCGTGTCCTCCTCAGATTCCTGCGCGCCCCCTTCATCCTCCTCCGAGTTGGAAGCCGAATATTCGCTTTCACTGTCAGAATGTGACCTGGGAACTGCGGGGGGGAAGCAATTGGGGACAGCTGACAGTGTGACAAGACTCACTGTGTGATAAAAGAGTGTGGGCTTGGGAGTAACATTTCTGATTCCGGTTTGTCACGACTTGCTCATGACTTCACCAGAGCTAGTTACATAAATTCTCTGAGCACCAGTTTCCTCATTTAGCAAAGGAGGCAGATAGCACTAATTTAGTAACGCGCTGTGAAGATGATGCTGAAGGTATGGAAGGCAACGAATAACGCCTGGCACAAAGGGACTGCAGGAGAAACCGTCAAGTACAGCTGTACCTCCCCCTCCCTCCTCGCCGGCAGAAACCCTTTCCTGTCAGGTGGCGGTGTGCCCACTCGGGCTGAGTCATGGCAACCGACCTCTCCAGATCCTTGCTTCCCCTTGCAGCGAGGGCTGGCCACATAAGCGGCTGCCTGAGACTCGAGGGAAACCTGCTGAAGGCTATGGGAAAGATTTTCCTTAATCACAGAAGAGAGGCCCTGGTCTGCACGTGTAAGCTACTGTCCAGCATAAAGCACTAGGCTTAAGATGAAAACTGCTGGTGGCAGAATAAAGGGACAGGAACCCAGGATCTTAGTGAACACCATGGACCTTAGTCCTTCAGCAGTACTATACGTGTTCCTGTCACTGCCACAGAAACGCCACCGACACAGCACCCAGTAAGTGATAGCTTCCATTATACCCACTCTCAATGCACACACCGCTCCACTCCACAGCTCACCCTAGAATTCTTTTTTTTTTTGGAGACAGGTTCTCACTATGAAGCCCAGGTGGTCTCGATTTGCCATGATCCTCCTGCCTCAGCCTCCCAAGTGCTGGAATTATAAGCATGTACCACCACACCCAGCCAAGAATTGTATTTTTTTTTTGGTACTGGGAATCGAACTAGGGACTTCATGCTTGCCAGGCAGGCGCAATTTCCTGAACTATATTCCGGGCCCAAGAATTGTATTTTTAACAAACCACCAGCCCCAGAAATAATCAAGCTAGTTGTATTCTCATAAGGATAAAACTAGCTTTATACTGGACACGTACAGAGCTTTTTTTGTTTGTTTGTTTTTTGGTTTTTGAGATAGGGTCTCCTTGTGTAATTCAGGCTGGCCTTGAACTCACAATGACCCTCTTACCTCAGCCTTCCGAGAGCTGGGATCAAAGGTGTGCACCACTATGCCCACACAGAACTATTTTTAAAAGATAACGCCCAAATATTAGTCAAATAACTTCAGCCAAGTCACTGTTTATTCTGAACGGATATACTTCAGAGGATTCTCCTGAGTTAGCACACAACCAGTACACACAATGCGTAGTCACTCAGCTTAGCAGGTGCAGCCTGGCCCTGATGCTGCTCGCTAGTGCTAGCAGGGACAGAGGACGTCGCTGTCTTACTGACCTGCAGCACATACACATGGTGGTGACCAAGAAGGGTTCACCATCTCTGTAAAAATGACTGTCTCTGACGGGGTACGGTAGCACACACGTGTGATCCCACCACTTGGGAGGCTGAGGCAGGAGGATCACTTTGAGCTTGAGACCAACCTGGACTGCATAAGGTCACCATGACCTACACAGTGAGATCCCTGCTTCAAAAAAAAAAAAAAAAAAAAAAAGGAGCAAACACAGGACACATCATGTGTCTGACAAGAATCACTTACTTGCAGACGTTACGAGACCCATCACGCAGCACCACCGTTTTCCTGAAAGCTACACCTTGGAAAGCAAGGGCTACAGACAGCGCCCTGACTCTAACCAGATTTAACATAAAGACGGGTATGGCCTCTCTCTGAGACATGAAGGCCAGCAAGTCATTTGCCCAAACTGGATACCAAACATATAAAGCCATGTTTAGCTTCCCAGTGGGCAGGCAGGACCCATGTCTGCTTATCTGGCTTTCAGTAGCATTCAGTACACCTATGATTTTTTTTTCTTTTTTGTCTTTTTCAGACAGGGTTTCACTATGCAGTTCAGGCTGGCCTTGAGCTCATTTGTAGCCTAGGCTAGTCTCGAACTTGCAATGATCCTTCTGCCTCAGCCTCCCGAGTGCTGGGATTACAGGCATGCACCACCACAACCAGTTTTTTATGAATTTTAATATTTAACAAATAGACCCACTTCTAGAACTTCTCAAAACATACTGAAAGGCATGTTATTTTGTTGGAGACAGATGTTTTAATTGACTTAAATATGCACTGACTATAATGTGAAAGATATAGTATGTACTAAGTTTTGGAATAAAGAAGACTAAGTAACAACCTTACCCTTTGGAAACCTAGCACTGACAATATAAACATATCTTCTTGTGAAAAGATAGCAAAAAAATTCTTTTCTTCTTCGTCTATTTTTTAAAAATGCAAAATTTTACTTGTCCATATCTGTGTGCAGGACAGGACCCTCCTCCTGTGGGGCTGGCACGTTAGCCCTTTCCTGCCTCTCGCTTCCCTCATCAGTATGTGTTTATGGTAAACCTGGACGACAGCTGGACACCACACTGAACACCTCTGATGTCCTCGTTTCAGTCAGTCCTCAAAACAACGCTGAGGGTGGGGCCACTGTTACCACTGCTACGGCTACTTTACAAGCAAAACACTGCCCTGAGCCAAAACAAACCTCTTCTTTAAATAGAAACAGCTGAAGCACAGAGAGGTGGTGGCAGGCTGAAGACTGAAAACCAAGCAGCCAAGTCGGGAATCTGTATGTTCAGTCACTCCTTCTTTTTGTTTAGATGTTACTTTGCATAAAAACGTCATATAAGAAGTACATACCTGTCAGGCATGGTGGCACAGACCTGTAATTCTAGCACTTGGGAGGCTAAGGCAGGAGGACTGATGCAAGTTCAAGACCAACCTGGGCTACAGTGAGCTCGAGGTCAGCCTGAACTGTATAGCAAGACCCTGTCTCAAAAAGATAAAAAAAAAAAAAAAGTACATACCTATTAATCTTTTCCTCAGACTACGAGGTGGTGTAGACTGCAGTTCATTTTTGTCATTGTTCTGTTTAAAGATAAAAAGCATGATAAATAGTTAAATAATACAGTGAAAGTTAATGACAGATCTGAAAGAAGGGTTAAAAAAGAAAAAATATTTCCTTTCAATAGACTCCTAGAACTAGATAAACCACCAGGCATGGTGGCACATGCCTGTAATCCCAGCACTCAGGAGGCTGAGGCAGGAGGATCAACACAAGTTCAAGACCAGCCTAGGAGTGCTGGGGAGATAGCTCAGTGGTGCAAGCGCCTGCCTGGCAAGCACAAGGATCCTGAGTTCCAACCCCACTACTAAAAAAAAAAAAAAGAGAGAGAGAGCACTCTCCAGGGCTGGGGATTTAGCTCAGCGGCACAGCACCTGCCTGGCAAGTGCAAGGTCGTGAGTTTGATTCCCGGTACTGGACCCCCCCCCCCCCCCCCGCAAGACCAGCCTGGGCTACAAAGTAAGCTCAAGGCCAGCCTGAACTTCATAACGAGAACCTGTCTCAAAATGACCAAGGGGAAAAAAAACCATAATCTTGAGTACAAGATTATGAAAAGGAATCTGCTGAAACAAAAAATAGAGTGTAACAGTAAGAGCAGACATTCCAGCCAGGACATGGTGGTGCATGCCTATAAGCCCAGCACTCAGAGAGGCTGAGGCAGGAGGATTGTTGAGAGTTCAAGACCAGCCCGAACTACAGAGTGAACTCAAGGCCAGCCTGAAATGCATAGCAAGACCCTGTCTCAAAAAGACCAAAAAAACAAAAAACAAAAAAATCCAAAGACATTCCAAAGGACTAGTAGTGTTTCTAGACAGTGGATTCCAGAAAAAGTACCTATGTACTATTAGTGTGTAAAGAAAAAACACAGGTATATAGCCTTTTGAACTGTACCCACAAACTGGGGCATTTTTGTTTTTGAGACAGGGTCTTGCTAGGCACTTCAGGCTGGCCTTGAACTTATGTTATTTTTGGTTTGGTTTTGTTTTGGTTTTTCGGTACTGGGAATTGAACTCACGACCCTGCACTTGCCAGGCGAGTGCTGCACTGTTGAGCTATATTCCCAGCCCCCTGAACTTGATTATGTAGCCAAGGCTGGCCTACAATTCATGGGTCTCTTGCCTCAGCCTCCTGAGTGATGGGATTACACGCGTGCACCACTATGCCTGGCTAGGTGGAGCATTTTCAAGAAGATGATACTGTGAATGACCACAAAAGTGAGAGGAAACACACTCCTCCATATGAAGCACCCAGTGCTTTGTGTGCTGGAACCTTACTGATGTTAGAGCACTGCGTTTTGTGAGTAGCAGAGAAACATGTTTATCTTATGTTTTGTTTTGTTGAGACAGTATCTTGTTGTATAGTTTAGGCTGGTCTTGAACTCACTATGTAGCCCAGGCTGTCCTCGAACATGCAGAGATCCTCCTGCCTCAGCCTCCTCAGTGCTGGGATTACAGGTGTGCACCACCATGTCCAGCAGACTCCCCTTTCTGAGACAATGCACTAAGACTGTCCAGGTGGTGTTATCTCTTGTAACAAATACCTCTGATCACTGGGTTTTCTGATGATCTTTTGGGGAAGCTGACAAAGATCTACCAACGGACTGATGACTCCAATGTGAAATAGCATGCTGTAATATATCTCAATTCCTGCTGGGTTAAGGTAATAAGTTTTTTCTTTTTTTTTGGTTTTTCTCCGGTACCGGGAACCAAACTCACGACCTTGCACTTGCCAGGCAGGCACTTTGCCACTGAGCTAAATCCCCAGCCCCAAGTTTTTTCTTTCGTATTGATATAACATACAAGACACAGCAAAGGAAGAAGTATTAACAACAGTGGAGGCTCTGGCATGTCTACTCCCATACCCAGATTGGCTTTAGTAGGATATTCCCAAAAAGGCTATCAGCCTGATCTTGAACGTCTACACTTATTTTCTTTCTTTCTTTTTTTTAAACAGTGTCTTGTTATGTAGTTCAGGATAGCCTCAAATTCAGAGTGATCCTCCTGCCTCAGCCTCCCGAATAATGAGATTACAGACATGTGCCACCATGCCTGGTCTTATACTCACTTCTTAGCTGAAAATCTCCTTAACTAAGCCTGTGCACAGCACAGACATGTCTAAGTCTACAGATAACAAGGCCTGGACACACGTATCACCCCCACCCCCACCCCCTGGGCTCTCCGTGTTTATCTAGGCTTGCCCAGATTCAGTCAGGGCCACCTGACAAAGCATAGTGAAGAAACAATCCACCAAAATATAAAGGACACAAAAACTGTCAATTCTTTCCAACTGGCTTGTAATGAGCCTACCTAAACCACCTTACTTTGAAATGTAACCATAAATGAATGGAAATAATAACACTAAGGTTTTGTTTTGTTTTTTGAGACAGGATCTCGTTATGTAGTTCAGGCTGGTCTTAAGTGCACTATGTGGCCCAGGCTGGCCTCGAACCCATGGTGATCCTCCTGCCTCAGCCTCCCGAGTGCTGGGATTACAGGTGGGTGCCACCACCACCACGCCTCGTAACACGACGGTTTTTGTTGTTTGCAGGCAGCTGCTTACCTCTGGCTGAACTCTGTCTGAAGCAGAATGCCCTAAATGAAACAAAACACTGTGATTTACCATAAGCACTTCACCTTGCATCACTGTCCAGCTTTGTTAAATGCACAGGTACCGTTTTTAAATGGAAGCATCACATGCTATTGGATTCTCAACTGCATCACCCCTAGAAGCTAAATTACCACTTTTTTTTTTCTTGTCTTCTTAAGACAAGGTCTTACTATGCAGTTCAGGCTGGCCTGGAGCTCACTTTGTAGTTCAGGCTGGCCTTGAACTCCCAATGATCTTCCTGCCTCAGCCTCCCAAGTGCTGGGATTACAGGCGTGCACCACCAGGCCTGGCTAAATTACCACTATTAATTTCATGACTAATCTCATACTGTCAGCTACTTCCTCCATTTCTGTGACATTGTAACAAGAAAAAAATAAAGCCTTTGATATTTTCAATTATTAAAAAGTACACTGTTTAACCAGGTTGGAACAGATCATTCCAAAAAGTCTGTTTCAAAATTCTCCACAAACTATTAAGACTTCTAGACCTCAACGGCCTACACCAAATCTTCTGTGCACAACTAGCAAACTCAAGCAGATGACCACAGGATTTGCACGCTGGTAGTGTCAACATGTACAACTTCAGTCAGCACAAAATTTTCCCTTTCCCTGACTGATAAATATGGGGATACTGAGGCAGACAGGCCGGAGTACTAACTGCATTTTGTTGAATTTTCAGAACAGAAAAGAAGAGGCTATATAAGAATTTTACTCATATAAGAAAAAAGTAACATGCTCTAATTTGAAGCAACACAGAAATGTTTTTGAAAGAGAGATAAGGACTTACCCTTGCTACTCTGAGGAATGCTTATAATTTCAGGATCATTTTTTAAACTGAATGAAACACTTTTTCTCGGTGTTTTTGCTAGTTCAGAAGCTGTAATCCAAAAAGAGTAAAACCCTGTTAATGAACAGCAGCAGTAGGGAGACGGCCTTCCTGCAGGCTGTCTCTTCACCCCTTTGCTGTGCAGAAGCTTTTTAGTCTGATGATCCCATTTGCCAACTTCCAGTATTTTTTTTTTTCTTTTGTCTTTTTGAGACAGGGTCTCGCTGTGCAGTTCAGGCTGGCCTTGAGCTCACTCTGTAGACCAGGCTGGTCTCGAACTCGCAACAATCCTCCTGCCTCAGCCTCCCGAGTGCTGGGATTACAGAAGTGAGCTACCATGCCAGGCTTCAATATTATTTCTTGTGCCACTGGGGTTCTGTTCAGAATCCTGCCTATGCCTGTGTCTTCAAATTTTACATATTTACCTTCCAGAAGATTGTGTTTCTGTTTTAACATTTAGATGTTTGATCTGTATTGATTTTAGTTTAGTACATGGCAAGACATGGTTCTAGATTCAGTCTGCAAGTAGATATCCAATTTTCCCAGCACTGTTGGGAGGTTATCTTTCCTCCAATGTGTGTTTTTGGGCCCTTTGTAAAAGATCAAAAAGTTGAATGTACCTGGGTTGTGTTTGCACCCTCTATTTTGTTCCACTGATTCACAGGTCTGTTTTTTGCCAGTACTGTGCTGTTTTTAATCACTGTAGCTTTGTAATGTAATTTCAAGTCTAGGATTGTGGTGTCTCCTGCTTTGCTCCTGTTGTGCGAGATTGCCTGGCTATTCTGTGTCTCTTGGTTCCCTATGAAGCTTAGGATTATTTTCTCTACTTATATGAGAACTGCTGTTAGTGTTTTGGGTTACATTCAATCCATGCACCGGTTTGGGAAGTACAGCCATTTTGATGATATTGGTTCTGCCCCTCTAGAACAAGGGACATCCTTCCATTTTCTGATGTCTTCTTCTATCATACATAAATTCTTAAAAACATAAACCCTGCTTTCTACTTTAATCACAAAGGTAGATAAACCCATACATATTAAGAGTACTACTTTTGCGGGGTGGTGGTGGTGGTGGTGCATGCCTGTAATCCCAGCATTCTGGAGGCTGAGGCAGGAGGGTTGTTGTAAGTTCAAGACCAGCCTGGGCTACAAAATGAGTTTAAGGCCAGCCTAATCTGCATAGCAAGACCCTGTCTCAAAAAGACACACACACACACACACAAAAGTACTACTTTTACCTTTACTGATATCTTCTCAGTATCTTAATCTTCCAATTATGCACAAATTTCTTAAAGAACAACACAAGAACTAATTTTGATTTCGTTGCTTTTGTAATTATTACTTTCCTCTCCTCTCCCCACCAACACTTTACACTCCTTCCATTTTTTAGCGTGGGTGCTGAAGCTCATCCTCACTTGGGGACGAGGGCCAGAAGATAGGCTCTAAAGCTAAATACGCATATGTGATATGTTAAGGTCTCTTACTCACTCCTAAGCGTGATGTTCTTTATTTTGTCTAAAACTCTACAATACACATGACTAATGCACGAACCATACCACGGCTGTCTCTTTATTAAGCACCTTCTGTGAGGCAGAGCCCATGAGCCTGGGGTCATCCTGGAGCCCAGCTTCCTCACCATGGCCACACCATGGTCACTACTGACCACAGCGCCCCACATGTCCTCGCCCTGCCCCACGCCCTCTCACACATCCAGCACGGGCTCTGACACATCTGACCAGAGCTCAGCTTTCCTTACGACCGCCCGTGACTTCTACCCACAGCTTGCTCCACACACAGGGCCCTCTCATCTGGCCCTTAGAACTCACCTTCACGGGAGCCCATTGCAACCTGTGTGCCAACCACACCACAGGACACCACAGGTGCCCACAGGGTCACACACTCCTTCCCGAACGCCCCTTCTCTGTCTTCCTAACAAATCCACATCTACCCTTCTAGCCTAGGCATCACAAAATTCCTTGATTTTCCCCCAAGATGCCTTTCTACTGTGAGCAGCCACTCTGGCTCCTACATAGCTCTGTGGAGGCCGGGAAGCAACAGTGAAGGGTGCAGGCTTTGCAGTTAGATAGGCACGAAACTTACACCTTGCTCTGCCACCTGTGATTTTTGTATAAATTACAGGCTTTTCTAGGTAGACACAGACAGACAGGTATCTATACGCTAAGGTCTGTGCTCAGTGCTTATACAGACACAAACTGGTATGTTAGATGGATATATACCACCTGCTGTGTAAGACAGACAGATTTAACCTCTCTCTGGACTGCACAGAGTAGAGCCTAACCTACAGTAACTGCTAAGAGTGACTCTTATCACTACCGAATCATGAAAGAATAATTCATTGTCGCTCTTTTTGTTCTATCCACAGGTATACTCTTCACCAACCTGTGTCTTTTTTTTGTTTTGTTTTGTTTCTCGTATTGGGAATTGAACTCACGACCTCACGCTTGCCAGGCAGGTGCTGTGCCGCTGAGCTAAAACCCCAGCCCCACCAACCTGTGTGTTAATCAAATGGTGTCCTTATTTTCCTACAGTAGGAGGTCAACAAACGACTGATGAATCACTTTCAAGGAGCAACAGCTTCATCATGTGGACCTTTAAGTACTACTGTTGAATAGTTTAAAACAGAATTACTTTTTAAGTACTGGTAGAAACACGGAGACTTAGCCATACCTCTCCCTGTGAACATGTCTCTTCTTCCAGTTTCCTGCTAGCTGAGAGGTGTCCATCCTGTCTCTGCTGCCTCTCGCCCTCCCACACTCACGACAAAACCACCCTACTTCTACAGAGTCGGGTTTCTCAACCTAAGGCTCTAACAGCAAAGCTGGGCAGGCACAACGAAGACTGGCAGCCCCGAGAGCCGGGAACCCTGTCTTCCCTCGCTGCTGAGCCCACTCCCGATGACAGCCTCAGGGCAAGCTCGCTGAGCCCAGCCTCACCCCCATCATGCCATGCTGCCCAGCAGGACTCCCACCACACTCTTTCAGGTAGCCTCCTACTCAGGCTGTCAACATCTGCGACCACACGCAGTTACCTTCAGCTTTTGTCTCCAGTGTGTCTCCTTGAACTGTTATTTATTTCAGTGTCTTTCACAATTAAAATGAATACTCTTCATTACACTGCTTTTGCCAATGCCAAAATAAAATAATGTTATGAAGCGATCCTGCCCTACCGTCCTTACTGCAATCTATCTATCTTATCAGCACCAAAGTATATGGCCCACAGGCTAGTGCCAAGCCCATACGCTGTTCCTGGTTAGTAACTACAGAAATTAAGAATAAATGCTTAGAAGCTCTTCTACAGTAGTTACTTATGTTGCTGGAGGATATAGGTTTATGAACACAACAGGAACTGGTGTGAAGTGTTACTGAGCACATGCATGCAGAGCTCCTTGCATTTTGATGCACTGCACATGAGCAACCTCAAGGTTATTTCACCAGCCTGATCCCAAAAGCATATAAAGCTAGGGATACAGGTCAATTGGCCTGCCTGGCAAGTGTGAGGTCAAGTTCAATTCTCAGTACCAAAAAACAAAGAAAAAAAAATCACTTTCCAAAAGCATCTAAAATCTACAATCCATTTGTTCACTAAGAGTTTCAATTTAAGCATAAGCTAGTAGGTTACATTGTTGGAATCAGCTTCTCCAGTGGAGGATTAAAGATAAATTTTGAGAATATACCAGGTACTGTTTTGAATTAGAATTAAAAGTGAATACTGTAGCTGGGTACAGTGGTACAAAGCTATAACCCCAGCACTCTGGTTAGCTAGTTGCCTGCCTGGGCAACTTAGTGAGAGAGACCCTGTCTCAAAAGAGAATATAAAAATAGGAGCTGGGAATGTAGTTCAGTGCAAAGGCCCTGGGTTCAATCCCTAGTACCAAAGACCAAAATAAACCCCAAACCAAAAAACCCTAAGTGTGATGCCTTTTCTTAGGAAGCTTGTCAGTTTACCTCTCTGAGATATTCTTCTTCTTTGAGTATTAATGAAGTTTAGCTATACATTATCTAAACAATAATAAAGCTCATTTGTCAAATTTCAATACTAACAAGCAAATTGCTCAAAGTGTATATACAAGCATTTAATGCAATGAATCACTACTTAATGTGACTTTTTGTTTAGTTTCCAATGTATATGACAAAGAGCTACACATAGTGATTATCTATATTGCAGCTGACAGTGGCCAGCTACTGGGTGAACTCTAGCTTCCACTTGTCTGAAGCAAAAATGTGTGAATATAGCTCTACCACCCATCACTCATTATTCTGGGTGCTTCTGCTTTGGGTAAGTGGTGTGGGCAGAGGCCCAAGAGTGAACACTATCACTAGCTGGCCTGTTGCAGAAAAACTCTGCTGAACTCTGCTCTACATTCTTGGTTTTTTTTGGTTTTTCTCTGGTACCGGGAATCGAACTCATGACATTGCGCTTGCCAGGCAGGCGCTGTGCCAGTGAGCTAAATCCCCAGCCCCTCTGCTCTACATTAATCATATATGAACATTACTTCCAGGAAACTTACAGTTTTCCTAATTCTTTTCTTGCTATGTCATATTTGATCTGACAAGTACAATGTTAATTGTATGGCTACTGACTTAATAAAAAATTAGTAAGTTTTCACTTTTCTAATAGTTTATCTCTATTGTATTTTACACAATAAGCTAGTTTACAATATATAAGAAATCTTTAAAAAAGTCTTTTTTTATTGTCTTTTTGAGACAGAGTCTTGATACGCAGTTCAGGCTGGTCTTGAGTTCACTTTGTAGCCCAGGCTGGTCTCCAACTCACAATGATCCTCCTGCCTCAGCCTCTTGAGTGCTGGGATTACTGGCATGCGCCACCATGCCTGGTTACAAAAGTCTTAACAACAGCCTCTCACCAGTTCATAATCTGGTCTTACTTAACTATCTTTTAGGGGAGCTCACACACTTACTTGTGGTAAGAACACTTAAAACCTACTCAGCAATTTGCAAGTAGACATGTTTAATTTATTAACTGTAGTCATTATAGTATACCATATATCACTGAACTTATTCTTTTTATCTAACTGAAAAATTTAATCCTTTGAGCAGTCCTCTCCCTTCCCACACCTACCCCTCTTCATCATTATATTCTCTGCTTCTGTGAGTTTGGCTTTTTAAGGTTCCACATGTACGATAATGCAGTACTTGTCTTCCAGTCCTGGCTTATGTTGCTTAACAGAATGCCCTCTGGATTCGTCCATGTTGTCACCAATGACAGGGTTTCCTTCTTTTTTAAAGGCTGAGTAGTATTCTACTGCATACCTATGCCATTTTTACTTACTTGCTCCTAGACACTTAAGATAATTCCACACCTTGGTTACCACGAAAAATACCCAATAACACAGGAGTGCAGATTTTACCATAATACTCTCATCTCCATGAGATACTCAGTACAGTACGAGCTTAACCTACTGTTACCTTCCCTCACGTCATCTTTCTCTACATTGGCTGAACTCCTGCTGCTCCTTCACACTTGGTACTTCTATCTTTACACCTGTTTACATCTGTATACATTCTCTATGTTTTACAAAGCCTTTCAATGTAATTGAGTCTATTAGCCCCACATCACAGTCAACCCAATTATATGAAACTGTCATTAAATGACTTCTTGACTTTGTCATTTTATTAAATGACAAAATATCCTTGCTAAAGACATTTTATTTTGTTGATATATTAGGAAGTAGGCAACAATATTTAATGAGTCAAAGGAACTCTTTAAAGGCTAAATACTGCCGGACATGGCGGCACACGCCTGTAGTCCCAGCACTGGGGAGGCTCAGGCAGGAGGATCGTCACGAGTTCGAGACCAGCCTGAGCTACAAAGTGAGCTCAAGGCCAGCCTGAACTGCACAGGGAGACCCTACCTCAGAAAGACCAAAAAAAAAAAAAAGGCTAAATATTCCAAAGTATTCTTTTTATACCTCTAAAGTATATTTCTTTCAGGTGTGATGTTAAATGTACATGAGGGTAACAGTCCAGGTTTCTGCGACACTTGTGGACAGTTATCTAAGTCAGCGCATCTTGCTGGTCCATATGGAGAAGTGTTACTTGGTTATGGCTGCAAGTCCCACTTTTACCTGTTAATTCTCCTCCAGCATCCTCCACCCTGCTCCTCTGTTTCATTTTGCTTCTGGTGCCTATCTGATCTTTCTTCTCACAATTATGTGAGCATTTCTTCTCTAGTTTCTCTGAGCTTCTATACATGTTCAATAATTTCTGTAGATCTAAAAATTTTTGTTTCTTCATATACATGATAAATGCTAAAAATTACATCAGTTAAGGTTAGTTATTTTATTTTTTATGTTATATTCAAAATTAGCGATACATTCAATATTGTTTTTCTCAGAAAAACTAAACTAAACTTGTCAGATGATTATATTCCTAAACAGAGATTGTATTTATTTGTTTACTTTTTGTCTTTTTGAGACAGGGTCTCATTATGCAGTTCAGACTGACCATGAGCTCACTTTGTAGCCCAGGCTGGTCTCAAATTCCCAACGATCCTCCTGCCTCAGCCTCCCGAGTGCTGGGATTACAGGTGTGCACCACCACTCCCGGCTCTAAACACAGATTTTATAATGACTTCTTCATCCATATAAACACTTAACAAGTATGCTTTTCACTCATCTAGAATGTTAGATAGCTGGCTAAATGACGAAAATGGCTGGCTAAAATGACTAAAATGACATTACTTATGAAATATTATGTGTTATAATTACAGATTATTAGTTCTCTTACAAGAATTTTACATTTTATGAGGTGGGTAATTATTTTAGACTTTTTGGTATTCCTGATCCTTTATATACTCACAGATCTTCTTAATTTTCAATGTACTTTCACATGTATTATTTCCATTCTTTCAAGCTTTAAAAAATGATAACCCCTCAAGTTATAAGACCCCAATATGGGTACCATCCAAATTTGCTTTAGATTAAATGGTGAATTTTAATGTTATATGTAATGTTAATGTTAGAGTCCAATCCTCTGAAAATCAGCAATGCAAGTTTATAATTGATTAATAAAGGTGGTAACTCAGGTAAGAGCAAGTGCTAGAAGAGACCACTCTAAACAACTTTATATAAATGTTTTTCTATCATACAAGTAGTATTATTCTATACACAGTACAAAACTCTTATTTAATGAACTCAAAAAGTCCACATGTGACTCTCAAGTCACTCATTTCCTAAAATCTGCTACGAACCTAAGCCACCTACTGTAGGGGGAACAAAAGAACAGGACTGACTTCCTGTTGTGGAAACGTGCACACTACTTTGGCACAGAGGACATTCGAGCGTGCAAACAGTAACTAAGGAACTGAAGTGTGTTTAGCAACTTCCTGCTGCTTGTCATGCATCTCCCACCAGTGCTTCACAGCCGCCAGAAGCAAGACACGCAAGTCACCACAGTGAGTGGGATAATATGATACAAAATGATGTCATTTTTTCATTCAGGGAGTGTAATGGGACAACAGAGGTAGGGAACTGGCTAAATATATCTTAGGGCAAATAATGATTATAGAAATCAGAAAAGCAACATACCTAGTTTAGCCATCTTTTCAGGGTGCTTTCTATTCTGAAAAGAATAAACTTTATTCCCACCATCTGTAGCAGAGCCATTTTTCAAAGGTTCTGAAAGAGAAAATACTGTATTTAAGTAAAAGGGCAAAGTTAACTAACAAGGAAAACAAATTTTAACTAAAGATTTAAGAGTCATACTTCTCACCATACTGCATGAAAGTTCACCAACTCATTCTTTTTTTTAAAGAGAAAAAAAAAATTCAAAATAATAGGAGGGTAACAATAGTTAATACACTGCATATGTTACCTTTAAATTACTCAAAGTACAAGATATTGGCATTTAATTGTCCAAACAGTATTAGTACAAACCTTTCTTTTCAATGAACTAAGAGAAAAGAACTATTTTGTGTGTGTGTGTGTGTATTTTTCCTTTCCCTTCCTTCTTCTTCATCCCAGCTTCTTTCCTTTTGAAATTTCTTCCCATTTTGCAATATCTGTCATGCATTCTGGATTTTATTCACTGTTTCAGCTTCTCACACGAGCAAGACAATGCAATGTTTACACATTCGTATCTGGTTTATTTTACTTCTGAGGAGGGTCTTAAGGTGCATCCATTTACTTACAAAAGTCTCCAGTTAACCCTTCTCTTTTTTTTTTTTTTTTTTTTTGCGGTACCGGGGATTGAACTCAGGACCTTGTGTTTGCCAGGCAGGTGCTTGTGCCACTGAGGTATATCCCCAGCCCCTGGTTAACCCTTCTTTATGGCTGAGTAATACTCCATTGTATAAAAAGATATCTTTTTATCTATTCCATAGTTGACAGGCATTTGAGTTGTTCCCAAAATCTCGCTATTAAAAATTATGCTGCTATACACGTGTGTACATCTATTGCCGTGATACAATGTTTTTAATTCTGGGAAGATACCCAGAATGGGAATAGCTGGGTCAAATGGGACTTTGAATCCTAATTTTTTGAGGAATCTCCATGCTTATTTCCACAATGGTTGAACTAGTCTACACTCCCACCAAGAGTGCAAAAAAGGGTTCCTTTTTCCACACAGTCCCCCCAGCATTGGTTACTGGTTGATTTTTTTTTGGTACCTGGAATCAAACTCAGGACCTTGCTCTTACCAGGCAGTTGCTGTGCCAATGAGCTATATCCCCATGCCCTGGTTGATTTCTTGGTAACAGCTATTCTTGCCGGGCATGATGGTGCATGCCTGTAATCCCAGCACTTGGGAGGCTGAGGCAGGAGAATCATTATAAGTTCGAGACCAGCCTGGGCTACAAAGTGAGCTCAAGGCCAGCCTGACCTGCATAGTGAGAACCTGTCTCAAAAAGGCCAAAAAAAAAAAAAAAAAAAAAGGAAAAAAGAAGCCATTCTTTCCAGGACTTTTTATTCATAAAGTCTTTGCCTACATCAATGTCTTCAAGAGTTTTACCGATTGCATCTTCCAGCAGACTAAATATTTCTGTTTTAACATGTAGCTATTTGATCCATTTCGAATTTAGTTTAGTACACAGTGAAAGACATGGGTCCAATTTTAATCTTTGGTATGTGCAGAGCCAGTTTTTTCAGCATCATTTATTATTATTATTATTATTATTATTATTATTATTATTATTTTGTCTTTTTGAGACAGGGTCTTGCTATGCAGTTCAGGCTGGCCTTGGGCTCACTTTGTAGCCCAGGCTGGTCTCAGACTTGCAAGGATCCTCCTGCCTCAGCCTCCCAAGTGCTGAGATTACAGGGGTGTGCCACCACGCCCAGCTACTAGCATCGTTTATTAAAGGGCTATCTTTCTTCCAATGACTGTGTTTGGCACCTTTGTCCAACATAAGGTCGCTGAGTTATGTCTGAGGCAGGAGAATGTTTCCGCATCTTCTAATCTGTTACACTGATATTTGGGTCTGTTTTTTTGCCAGCACCAGGCTCTCTTTAATCACAGTAGATATACAGTGTAATTTCAAGTCAGGGATTGTGATGCCCCCTGCCTTGCCTTTGTTGGCCAGAATTGCCTTTGCTATTCTAGGTCTCTTCTGGTTCCAAATGAATTTTAGAATTGTTTTCTCTAATTCTGTGAGATGTGCTATTGGTATTTTGATTGGAATTGCATTAAATCTGTATAAGAGTTTTGGAAATATGGCCATTTTCACTATATTGGTTCTTCCTACCCAAGAGCAAGGGATATCTTCTCATTTTCTGATCTCCTCTTCAATCTCCTTTTCAGAGTACTATAGTTTTCAATGTAGAGGTCTTTCACATCCTTCATTCGATTGATTCCTAGGTATTTCATTTTTTTGGATGCTATTGTGAAAGGAGTTGTTTCCCTTCTTTCTCTCTCAGTGAGTTTGTTACTCATGTATAGGAAGGCTATTGATTTTTGAGTGTTGACTTTGTATCCAGCTACAGTACTGAATTTGCTGATTAAATCTAACATTTTTAGTGCAGTGTTTGGGGTCTTCTACGTAGAGTATCATATCATCTGCAAATAATGATAATTTCACTTCTTCCTTTCCTATCATTAGTCCTTTTATTTCTTTCTATTGTCTAACTGCTCTGCTTAAAGTTTCCTAGAGTATGATGAATAAGAGCGTAGGGAGTGGACATCCTTGTCTTGTTCCTGATTTTAGAGAGAAAGCTTTCAGTTTTTATCTATTTAGTATGATGTTGGCTGTTGGTTTATCATAGATGGCTTTTATCACACTGAGATAAAAACCATCCATTCCAATTTTCTATAGGGTTTTTATCATGAATGGATGCTGGACTTATTCAAAAGATTTTTCTGCATCTATTGAGATGATCATACGATTTTTCTTCTTGGTTCTGTTAATATGGTATATTACATACACTGATTTAGGTATGTTGAACCATCCTTGCATCCCTGATATGAATGCCACTTGTCATGGTGTATACTCTTCCTTGTTTCTTTTCTTTCTTTCTTTCTTTTTTTTTTTTTTTTTGTCTTTTTGAGACAGGGTACTGCTATGCAGTTCAGGCTGGCTGTGAGCTCACTTTGTAGCCCAGGCTGGTCTTAAACTCACAACAATCCTCCTGCCTCAGCCTACTGAGTGCTGGGATTACAGGCTTGCACCACCATGCCTGGCAGTATATAATCTTCCTGATGATGTGCTACATTCTGGTACCCAGTATCTTATTGAGTATTTTTGCATCTATGTTCACTAGGGAGATTAGCCTATAATTCTCTTTCTTAGTTGGATTCTTCTCTGGTTTTGATATCAGGGTAATGTTTGCTTCCAAGAATGAATTTGGGAGTATTGCTTCCCTTTCAATTGCCTTTGAGAAATAGCAGTGCTAAGTCTTCTCTAAATTTCTTGTAGAGGGGTTAGGGATTTAGCTCAGTGGTAGAATGCTTGTCTAGCAAGCTGGAAGTCTTGGGTTCAGTCCTCAGCATCAAAAACAAAAACTAGAACTCATCTGAAAAACAAAAAACCAAAAAAAATATTCTTGTCAAATTCAGCTGAGAAGGTCAGGTGTGGTGGTGCACACCTCTAATTCCAGCACTCAGGAGGCTGAGGCAGGAGGATTGTTATGAGCTCAAGACCAGCCTGGGCTACGCACTGAGCTCAAGGCCAGCCTGAACTGCACAACAAGACCTTGTCTCAAAAAGACAAAAAAAGAACCGGGTGTGGTGGCACATATCTGTAATCCCAGTACTCTGGAAGCTGAGGCAGGAGGATCATTGCGAGTTCCAGACCAGCCCGGGCTACAAAGTGAGCTCAAGGCCAGCCTGAACTGCATAGAGAGAACCTGTGTCAAAAAAGGACAAAAACAACAGCAACAACAACAAAAACAACCCACCCATGAATCTGTCAGGTCCTGGCCTTTTCTTTGTTGGTAGTTTTTTTTTTGCAGTTTTTCTGGTTTTATTTAAGTACAAATAAACATGCACACGAGCCATCTACTCGTCTTCTTCTTTGCTGCGCAGCCTGGTGTTGGGATTGGTGACTCAGACGGCTAGCTGGGCCACTCTCCATGATGGCCTTGCAGTTCTTAGGGGAGACACTGTGAGCAATTTCCACGCAGTAAGACTTGTTGCACATCAGCAGCACCTCCAGCTCGTTAACGTTGTGCACCAGGAACTTCCAGAAGCCACTGGGGCAGCATGTGCCTTGTCTGTCTGTTGCTTTCATAACCTACGTTGGGCATCAAGATCTGGCCCTTGAACCTTCTCTGCAGGGTTATCAATGCCTCCGGGTTTCCACCAGTTGTGCTTAATTTTGATGTCTCAGTCTGACTGGTGCCAGATGAACTTGGTCCTCTTTTTGATGATCTTGAGCTTCACGAGGGGTCTGAGGGCCACCATGGTGCCGAGTCGGAGATGGCTGCCACCTCTGTAGGCAGTGCCGAGGAACAGACTGTTGGTAGGTTTTTAATTACATCTTTAATTTCAATGACTGATATTGGTTTATTTAGGAGTTTTGTATCTTCTTGATTCAACTTTGATAATTCTTATGTATCAAGGAATTAGTCCATTTTTCTGTATTTTTCATCTTACTAAAATACAAGTTTTCAAATTAGGTATGGATGATCTCGATTTCTTCAGGATCTGCTGTGATTTTTTCCCTTTTCATTCCTAATTGCATGGATTTGAATAATTTCTTTCCTGTTTTGTTAAGGTTGCATAAGGGTTTGTCGATTTAGTCTTTTAAAGAGCCAATTCTTTGATTCATTAATTCTTTGTATTTTTTTGTTTTTAGTTTCCAATGTAGTAATGTCTGCTCTGATCTTTATAATTTCCTTCCTCCATGAGCTTTTGGCTTAGCCTGCTCCTCTTTTCCTAGAAGTTCGAGGTTCACCATTAAGTTGTTTATTTGCACTTGCCCTGATTTCTTGATATGGGTATTCATCACTATAAATTTCCCTCTTGGGTATGCTTCCACTGTATCCTATAAGTTCTGATATGTTGCACTGTCATACCATTTAATTGCAGAAACTAATTTCTTCAATTTCATCCATAACTCATTTGTTGTTCAGGAGGGTACTATTTAATTTCCAAGTGTTTATGAAGTTCTTATGGTTTCTTTATGCAACTGATTTCCAATTTCATTGCACTATGGTCTGAAAATATGCATGGGATAATTTTAATTCCTTTGCACCTACTTAAGCATGTTCTATGGGCTACTATGTGGTTTGTTTTGGAGAACGTCCAGTGTGCAGCTAAGAATGTGTATTCTGATATTGTGAGGTGGAACATTCTCCAGACATTTACTAAGTCCATTTGTTCACAAGTTTGGTTCAATTCTAATAGTTCATTGGTGATTTTTTGTCTAGTTGATCTGTCTTTTTGTGACAGTACTGCGATCTCCCAATATAATTATGTTAGTGGTTGTTTGATTGTTCATGCCCATTAATATTTGTATACAGTTGGGTTCATTGGTATTTGTTGCATATGTATTTATGATTGTTATGTCTTCCTCTTGGATTGTTCCTTTTATAAGGATGTAATGACCGCCTTCATTTCTCTTAATAAGTCTTGGCTTGAAATTTACTTTGTCTGCAAGCAGAATAGCTACCCCTGCTTTTCTGTGGGTTCCTGTCACATGGAGTACTGTTTTCCATCCTTTGACTTTCACTCTACAAATTTCTTTTTGAATTACATGTGCTTCTTGTACACAGCATATTGGATCTTGCTTCTTCATCCATTCTGCCGTGTCTTTTGACTGATAAATTGAAGCCATTAACATTGACGGTTATAACTGATATGTACTGACTTCTCCTTGTCGTTTATTTTCCTGTTGTTGGCTCCCCTTTTCTCTCCCTCCCTCTGTTGAATTGTTTGCCTTGCCTGGTGGCTTCCTTCTGTTGGGGTTCCTGGAGTTGTAGTCCTTGTTATCTCTTTCTAGAATGTCCTTCAAAACATTTTAGAGTGCTGGATTGATGGTCATAAATTTCCTCATATGTTCTTTGTCATGGAAGTGTCTTATTTTTCCTTCAACCTTTTTTTGGTACTGGGAATCAAACTCAGGACATTATGCTTGCCAGGAAGGCACTGTGCCACTGAGCTATATCCCCAACCCCATCTCCATTAGTTTTGAAAGATAATTATTTGGTGTACATCAAATTGGGTTTCAGGTTGTTTTCCTTTAGAACTTCAAATACTTCAAGCTCTCTCTGACTTGAGGGTTTGTGCTAAGAAGTCAGCTGAGATTCTAATGGGTTCTCCCTCATAGGTAATTTGTTTCTTTTCCCAAATAGCTTTTAAGATCCTATTCTTTTTCTGCGGGGCATGGGGTTTTTTTGAGACAGGGTCTCACTATGCAGTTCAGGCTGGCCTTGAGCTCACTTTGTAGCCCATGCTGGTTTCAAACTCACAGTGATCCTCCTGCCTCAGCCTCTGGAGTGCTGGGATTACAGATGTGTGTCACCACACCCAGCGTTAAGATTCTATTCTTGTGTTGAATTTCTAGAACACTGACTACGATGTGCTTGGCTGTTGATTTTTTTTGTTGTTCTTGTTGATTTTTTTGATTGTGGATAACTGGATTTCTACATGCCTCACTCACCTGTATGTCAAATTCTTTTTCTCTATCAGGGAAGTTTTCTGCCATGACGACTGTGAACAGTTTTTAAATATCATACCAAAGCATCTTTAAATCTGTCATTTTTTTTTCTTTTTTCTCTTTGCAGTTCTGGGGATGGAACCCAAGGCCTCACTCTTGCTAGGCAAGGGTCATGTCACTGAGCTTCATCGCCAGCTCTTTTAAAAAATATTTTGAGGCAGGTTCCAAGGAGGATGTCTGTCCTGGGACTAGACACCCTCATCCTTACCCTTACTCTCATCCCAGGTGCCTCCAAAGAGCAACTTCTGCTGTGGGTCCTGCATACAACACACTACTTTTATAATCAGAAACCATTTTTAAGAAAAAAGTGGCCAGGGATGTAGCTTAGTGACAGAGCATGTGCTTAGCATGCACAAGGCCCTGGGCATGGGCCCCAACACTAAAAAAATACAGAAGTTTCTCTTTTGGAATACTGTGTGTATTTGTTTGCTTATTTATTCATGTTTTTTTTTTATTCCGGGGGGGATTACAGGTTTTTGCTATGTAGTATAGGTTGGCCTCAAATTCTCAGCAATCCTCCTGCCTCAGCCTTCCAAGTACTAGGATTACATGCATGTGCTACCACTCCTGGCTTAGAATACTGTTTTAAAAATCTTTTTAGGATTGGCCAGGCGTGATGGCACACGCCTGTAATCCCAGCACTCAGCAGGCTGAGGCAAGAGGATCACTGTGAGTTCGAGACCAGCCTGGGCTACAAAGTGAGCTCAAGGCCAGCGTGAACTGCATAGAGAGACCCTGTTTCAAAAAGGCAAAAAAAAAAAAAAAAAATTCTGAGGGGTAGCATAATAAACAGTTAAGAACCCAAAGTTCTACTCAGAATATAGCCTAAGAATGTCAACTGTGGGGCTGGGGATTTAGCTCAGCCGCACAGCGCCTGCCTGGCAAGCGCAAGGTCGTGAGTTCGGTTCCTGGTACCGGAGAAAAACCAAAAAAAAAAAAAAAAAAAAAAAAAAAGAATGTCAACTGTGTAGTTAGGGACACTGAGAAGACTTGACTACCCACCAGACATCTAACCAGGGGCCACGGTTCAATCAGCTAAACTAAATCTAAATCTACTGTTGAGAACCCAGAATGGGGAAACTAAACCAGAAGCAGCATTATGATTTAAGAAACAAGGAAAAATAGTTGGGTGTGGTGGCACACACCTGTAATCCCAGCACTTGCAAGGCTGAAGCAGGATTGCCCTGAGTTCAAGGCCAGCTTGGGCTTCATAGTGAGACTTTGTCTCAAAAAAATCAAGAAAAAAAGAAAGAAGTGAGTAAGGTCAGGAGTAGTTGTCATGGGCATTTACAAGGCAGGCGTGAGAGTAAAAACATACACGAGGGAGACAGGAGGCATGAAAAGAACAGATGCAGAGATGACTGAGGGAGACCAGGGTGCTGTGGGAGCAAAGACCTCAGTTTTTAAGGCTCAATTATTTCTAGTACTCCTAGTGACCAACAATATTCTTTTTTGTTTTTGTTTTTTCCCGGTACCAGGAATCGAACTCGTGACCTTGCGCTTGCCAGGCAGGCGCTGTGCCACTGAGCTAAATCCCCAGCCCCAACCAACAACATTTATTTCTCTCTTTGACTTTTATTTTTTTAGGCTTAAGTGGCTCTGATTTTTATTTTTTTAGGTTTAAGTGGCTCTGTATTTTTCACGCCCAGCAGAACCCTAACTAAAATATAATTCAAGCTTGAAATGTGTTTTAAGTATAATTAGGTAGGATGACTTTGTTTTAGGTGTTAAAAAAAAAAAAAGCACACTATAAGCATACCTAGGTTGAAACAACATTACTTCCTGGAATGTTCCTTCCATGTACAAAGAACAAGGTAACAATGAAGTGACTTGTTATATGAAATTATTTTCAGCTGGGCATGGTGGCACAGGGCTATAACCTCAATACTTGGGAAGCCGAGGCAACAGAATCTTAGTTATAAAATGACTTCAAGCTGGGCGTGTAGCACATGTCTGTAATCCCAGCACTTGGGAGGCTGAGGAAGGATTGCTGAGTTCAAGGCCAGCCTGGGCTACAGAGTTCAAGGCCAGCCACAACAGCACAGCAAAACCCTATCTCAAAAAAACAAAAAACAAAAAACAAAACATAAAAACAACTTGAAAGCAATCTCAAATACACAGTGAAATCCTGCCAGGAAAGGGAAGAGAAATTTTTTCTCAAACCCAAGAGAAGGGCTCTACAGAGCCTACAATAAATGTGAAACTTTGCCACTGTTTAACAACAAAATAACTATGTTTCTTTGTTTATTTTTGGTAGTGGGGATTGATGCCTGCTACACAAGTGGTGTATCACTGAGCTATATCCCCAGCTCTCAAGAATAACTCAAGTGGTTCACCTGTAGACTCCTTCTTTATGAAAATAATCAAGGGCAGGACTGGCTATTTGTTAACAAAAAAGAACTGTGGAGAAAAAACTTCAAGGAAATACTTTTCAGATGAGATACATAATGAAAGCATACCACTATTTGATCTGCCAGACTACTTTTAAGTATCTTGCAAAGCAATTTCTGCTACTACAGAAATATTAATGTACCCCCACCCCCACCATTGAATACCTTGAACGTTTTGTCCCAAAACTTTCACGTAGTTCTGATCCTTTAACACTTCCTGGTCACCTTCCTCCACATTATATTCCTGCTTCTTTAATATTTTTTGTGGATTGACCAAAAGCTGAGCTCGCTCCTTCTTTAATTTAGTGCCTAGAAAAACATCCAAGGAATTAGAACATAGCAGGCATGCATCTTTCCTAAGAATTAAATTTAAGTAGGTAAATGAACTTGTACAACCTAAATGGTCATTACATAGAAGCTGGGAAAAGTGCTTTCCCTTTGAGTAACAGTCTTGACCTGCTGGGTATGGTGGTACAAACCTAGAAATCCCAGCACCTGGGGGACAGGTTGAGGCAAAAGGATCAAGATTTTGAGACCAAAAAAAAAAAAAAAAACAAAAGATTTTGAGACCAGCAGAGATCCAGTCTCAAAAAAAAGGAAGTACTGACAGTGAGTTTATATACAGTAATTGAATTAAAAAAAACAAAACCTTGAAAATCTTTCTTTCTGAGGGTCAAAGTAATCAAAGTAATATTTTTGTTTTGTTTTGTTTTTTGTTCTTTTGTTTTTTTCTGGTACCAGGAATGAGCTCATGACCTTGCACTTGCCAGGCAGGCGCTGTGCCGCTGAGCTAAATCCCCAGCCCTTAAAGTAATATTTTAAATTACAATGGTTAGTTATTATTTACCAGTACAACAGAGAATTTTCCTTTCAAGAAGGCTGTATTTTAAATTTTTATTAAAGGGGCTGGGGACTTAGCTCAGCGGCACAGCGCCTGCCTGGCAAGCACGAGGTTGTAAGTTTGATTCCTGGTACTGGGGAAAAAACAAAAACAAAAACAAACAAACAAAAAATTTCTATTGAAGTTTTAAAGACGTCCATAATGGTACATACCTGTAATCCCAGCATTTTGGCAGGCTGAGACAGGAGGACTACAAAGCCAAGCCCAGCCTGGGCAACATAGTGGCTCAGGGAGACCATTTCAAAATTTAAAACAGTTAAACAAAAAGGGCTAGGGATTTGGGGGTCAACCCTCAAGTCCAGTCCTGCCCTCCGCAAAAAAGTTTGAAATAAGTAAATGAAAAATCAGTTTTTTAAGTCTTATTAGATCAAATAATTTGCACTGTATTTTCAATATGAAATGTTACAATATTTTCAAGGGCGGGGATGGTGACGCATGCCTGTAATCCCAGCACTCAGGAGGCTGCGGCAGGAGGATTGCTGCGAGTTTGAGGCCAGCCTGGGCTACAAAGTGAGTTCAAGGCCAGCCTCAACTGCATAGCGAAACCCGGTCTCAGCCAGGCACGGCAGCACACACCTGTAAACCCAGCACTTGGGAGGCTGAGGCAGGAGTATCGTTGCAAGTTTGAGACCAACCTGGGCTACCAAGTGAGCTCAAGGACAGCCTAAACTGCATAGCGAGACCCTGTCTCAAAAAAGACAAAAAAAAAAAAAGAAACCCGGTCTCAAAAAGACAAAGAAAAACAAAAGGTATTTTTAAAAATGAAATGACCCATAAGCATCTCAATACAATCACTCAGTACCTCCTTCTCTATCAAGAATATGATTAAGAACATCATCATCTCCCACAAATTGAACCTCCAGCATCTTGTCTTCCTTTAATTCCAGTTTACTCATCATGGCCAACCTAAACAAAAGCAATAAACCAATATGACAAAGAATCCACACTAACTGCCATATAAATTAAACATCTGCATAATAAATACATAGTATTTGAAAGTAGGGAGCAGGGCATGGTGGCATGTGCTAGCAGTCTCAGCTACCTGGGAGGCTGAACTGCGAGGATTACTTGAGCTTAGGAGTTTAATACCAGCCTGGGCAACACTGGGAGGCCTCATCTCAAAAGAAAGAAAAAAGCAAGAAAAATATATTACCATTACTGTATCATTATGGTTTTGATTGTCAGTAACTCAATAATTTATCTGAACAGGTTAAGAAGAGATGCCTATAATTTGCAGAGCTAAATCCAATTAAGGTAACCAGTATATAATCTCAGGAAAAATTCTGCTTAAAAAGACAGCCTAACCTATCAGTTTAACAACCACATTAACAGAAACAGACACCAGAGTTTAGAAAAGAGATGGTCAACTTATAAAAGTTTGGTGGATTTTGTATGTGTTCACTAGAAAGATGCAGTTCACGGGGAGTCTGTGACAGCAATGCTGACCAAGCTGGATCAATAACCCTCAAGGACTACCCCTGTGCTGGGATTCTGATTCCGGCTTTCTAGACATCTCGGTAACTCCACAGTAAAAATGAAACTTTTCAGCCAAGAGATCTACCACTAAGCCACATTCCCAGCCCTCTTCTACACTCTTACAAATCGTGTTTTTGCCTTTTCTTTTGACAAAAGGAACTACTGATGATAACTCAGGAGTAGTTATTTGTATGCAGATAATTAAATGTAACCAAGTCTTCTGACAACTGGCAAACAGAAATTACTTGTTTCTGTTTCATTTACCTTTTAAGGTACTACATATTCTGCAGCTGGAAAATTTAGACAGTTACCTATAACTGGAAAAATAACTCAGTCAGTGTTATATATAGCAAATGAAAGCAAGAAATCCTTGAGTGTTAAAAAACAAGATAAGGGGCTGGGGATTTAGCTCAGCGGCAAAAGCGCCTGCCTGGCAAGCGCAAGGTCATGAGTTAGGTTCCCGGTACTGGAGAAAAACCAAAAAACCAAAAAAAAAAAAAAAAACAAGGTAAGTAAAGGTCCTAACGAAGTTGTTATGATGATAGGATAAAACTATCTTTACCTTCTGGCGAGAGTCCATGCTGCCAGGGTAAGACATCTGGGCAGGGTAGGAAGGGAAAGAACACAACCAAAGCACTTCCTATTATTGTAGGAACATGAAAAGTACTATATGCTCATTTACTCCTCACAACCTTATGAGGTAATACTTTCTACACATAGATAAAAAATACTTCATAATTTATATAAGCCCCGTTAGTAAAATGTCCTCTTGGGCCATTTTTCTAGTCACCACACTGCTTTCTGTTGGGGAAGCTAGGCTATTAGAGAAAATATTTAATGCATTTATGTGATTTTTTTTTTTTTTTTTTTTGGTATTGGGAATCAAACTCAAGACCTTGCGCTTGCCAGACAGGCACTGCACCACTCAGCTATATCCCCAGCCCCATAGTTGTATAAAATAAATTAAGAATTTCTTCCTATTTGTATAAGATACATAGGCTTTTTAAAAATTTTTAAAACATTGTATTTAATAAGATTCTGGCAATAGTTTTATGTAACAAGATACAGCATACCAGACCTGCCACTCAACTTGTTCATAAGTCTCAGCTTCAATATGAAGTTGTTTAAAACAAGAACTCAAAACCTGCTTTTTACATGCTAAATATCTTGGCAAGGGTGCCATTAAACATGAACTTGAGACAGTAAGAATAAAGAGTTAAAAAAGCTAAACATTGCAGCCTAAACAATATTCATGCAAAAAAATAAAGTAACTATTTTTGGTTACATAGAATGTTTGGTTACATAAAATGTTCCAGACCGGTTAAAACTTAACAGTATAAAACATGCATTTTGGAATCTTTAGTTATTAAGTTCAAAAAGTACCAGTGTCTATATGATACAATTCTCCTCCAAAGCCAAAGTATAGTAAAAAATTAATTCAAATGATATAATACATTCTAAACCTGAAAAACATTCAGTTATTATTAATGTGGAGGTAAACACAGAGCTTTAGGGCCTTTCTTATGCTGCAAAGGGTTGTTTCTCTGGTTCACTCAAAGCAGCACATGACAAAGTCTACAGATGTCATTAAGCTCAGTAAAGGACAAGACTGCTTGTACCCAGCTCTGACTTTCCCAGAAGCATGGCTACTGCATCCACAAAAGGAGGTATGAGGATCAAAGGCACACTATTCTGCTAGCTAAAGAGATAGCAAACCACCTCTCCCTCTACCCTAAAAGCCCCTTCCTGAGGTAAATAAAAAGTATACAGTGGGGAATAATTAAAATACACTTATCTACAGAGTAAAGATTTCAAAATATTAATGTAACCCCTACTTTAAAAAATTTAACTAGCCATTTGGTCATTTCTGATTACATCTTAAAGATGTATCCAGATTTAATTTCTGTTGATTCATCACTAGATACTTCCAGTCAAAAATGTTAGCTTTCTTTCCAAATATCTTAACCATGAGTATGACTGCAGTGTGTTCTCCCAGGTTATCATGCACTGGAGGGGAAAAGGTAGAAGTTCAAGCAGCAGGCAACAATTATGGCCCTTTCACACAGTGGCATCGGAGTGGCTATTGAATAGTCCAGGAACAATTCTAAAAACAAGAAAATTCATGCATTTTAGTAAATATATCATAATTTTCACAGTTGAAATTTCCTTAGACATTGCACTTTCTTCACAGGGGAATCCTGGTTTTTGTTAACATTATGGTGAGTCAGGACTTGATCTAGTAGCCCTCTTTTTCTTCTGTGTTTCTTATGCTTCTTTTTCTTGTTTTTTTTTTCAGTTGCTTTTTCTCATTCTTCACTACTTTTCTTCCTTTTTTGCTCATACCTCTTCAGTATAATCTGATTCTGACAAGGACTCAGATGATAAGGTTTAACTTCAGGTTACATCTTTCTTTTTTGGGTAAGTCCTTTAATATCCTTTTCTTTCTTTGTTGCACTTTCTGACCTCCTTTTCTTTTCTAAGCTATCCTGTCTGACGCAGTTTCTGACAGGGAGCTTTCAAAAGATTTATGTGAACGGTTCTCCTTTTTCTTTCTCCTTTTTGCTTGCTTCTTTTCCTCATCCTCAGAATCTGAAGAATTGCTGGAAGAATCAGAGCTTGATGAAGATGAATACCTACCAGACTTTTTTCCTCCTTCTGTTTTTTTGGATGAGCTCTCGTTTCCACTTAATAATTTCTCCCTGTACTTTTCTAGTTCTTTTTTCCAATTCTCATTTTTTTCTTCAAATTCAGCCAAAGCCTAGAGCCTTTCTTTTTCTTTTTCAGTTGCTTTTTTACTTCTTCAGATAATCCTGGAGTGTTATCCCCAAAGACTGTACTGGACCCCTTGATTGGGCCATTGTTGTTGGATTCACGTAGGTCACCTGACTGTCCTGTTTCCCCATGGTGCTGGACGGATCGCACAGTAAGACTGTGAAAGACAGACCAGGCCAAGAAGCAGCAGAGACAGGCCTGCCACAAGTCCTTCCCATAGGTTTTTTTTAAGGAGCTGCATGTCACACTGTATTAGGCAGTGTGTACACTACCTCATTAAATCCTTCAGAGTCTACCAGGTAAGTATTTTGTGTATGTGTGTGCATAATTTCTCCAATTTACAGATAAGTGAGGTTAAATACTAAATATGCACTAAAATTCACACAATTAGAAAGTGTGTTAGGGTGAAACCTGACTTTAACTGATTCCTAAATTCCTGATCATTCTATTACACCATATACCTCTCTCCTAATATTGTTCAGTGGCATGAGCACCTGCCTACCAAGCATAAGGTCCTGAGTTTGATTCCTGGTACCAAAAAAACCCCCAAACAAACATATACCTCTCTCCTGCCGCTGAACAAAAATTTGGTAATCCTAACTACTTACTTGTTCTGACCTCTGGAAACTATTCATAATATATATGTCTAATCATTTTTTCCATATCAGTACTTCAAATATCCAGATTTATACTGTCGCAAATTTCCGGATCATCAGGTTAAATGTCACTTTTTTTTTTTTTTCTCCTTTTTGAGACAGGGTCTCACTACGCAGTTCAGGCTGGCCTTGAGCTCACTTTGTAGCCCAGGCTGGTCTCAAACTCCCAAGGATCCTCCTACCTCAGGCTCCTGAGTGCTGGGATTATAGGTATGCGCCACCACACTCGGCAAATGTCCCTAATTCTATCAAGCATATTTCAAAGAGCATGGCCAGATGCAGCATAATCTACATTATTTTTACCTAATTATATACTGCTGCGTTCTACAAAGAATTTCAATCAGTGACGACGAGCAACTGCAATGAAACAAAAGGGTAAAGTTCAAATACTAAGGAAGAGTCTGGATGGCAGAACAGATAAAGAAAAGTCAAAAATTAAAGTCACGCACAAACCTTTTGGCTCTGAGCTCTGTAGCAAGCCAAGAAAAAAAGCAAAGGCATGTTACATAATTCTCATTAGTAGCTGGGCGTGGTGGCGCACACCTGTAATCTCAGTACTGGGGAGGCTGAGGCAGCAGTTGCCAAGTTCGAGACCAGCCAGGGCTACAAAGTGAGCTCAAGGCCAGCCTGAACTCAGAAAGACCAAAAAAACCCAAAAATTCTCATTAGCAAAAGCTTAGCAGTTCTGGGGATGGGGGCAAGGGCAGGGTTTAGAGGAAAGTTCATAAAGAAATATTCTAGGCAAGTGACCACTGCCCTTAAGCGATTTCCCAGTGGCGGTTTACATAAGAATTGCCTGGACAGAGGCAGCTTGACTCACTCAGGTCTTGCTGCCAAGTTCAGAACAAACAAAATCATCACAACTGAAGAAATTTATAGGAAGACCTCATAAGAAAACTTCATTCCTTTCCAACAGTTCCTGAAAAGTCACTACCTACCCATCACACAATAAAATGAAAATATGCATAGTGACCATCTTGTCCTTCAAGGCACTGCCTTAGATGTGTTTACAGGTCAATTCCTCTCAAGGAATTAAAAGGGCATAGATGCACCAAGAGCTATCAGTAGCACAGTTCCCTCGAGAAACAAAGGATCGAATGTAATTTTAAACCATGTACTCTTTCTAAAAGAGATATAGATTAGTGACTAAGCAGTAGTACCAGGTAAGGTGGGTTTAATTTCAACTCCACACTTTAAAGCCGGATGACTTTGTCCAAAGTCATGAGGATGAAATGTGACCATGCGTCCGACACCCTGAAAGTGCTCCTTAAACATTTTCTATTGTCGGTATTTTCCCTCCGACGTCCAACGTGACCGTGCAGGCCTCTTGCAGACCTCTGTGGCTCATGCCCCACAAAGCAGGAAAGTGCCCAATGGATGACGAACGGTGTTCAGTGACCAGCGCAGGGCACCAAGGGGGTCGTGTGTAGTCTTCAGATTGCAAATTACCTGGGGGAGGTACACGGGTCACTGAGGGTCCCAACTGAAAAACGAAAATCAATGTCCACACGCTTTCACAGAGCTCCACCAACACGTCCGGGTCTGCAGCACCGCACAGCGCCCGTGGGCGCCCGGCGGCGGGGCATCGAGGTGCTGCTCGGGTTGGCGCAGCGCTCCGTCGCCTCCCACAGGACCCGGCCAGCCGGGTCGCCCCT